CCCCAGTAGAGCCCAGGCCTGCAGTGAGCCAGGCCATGTGAGGGCCTGCCGGTGGAAAACCAGACCTCAAGGTGTTCACAAGTGGACCATGTGTGGGGCAAAGCCAGGTCTGTGCCAGTAACTGGAGCAGAAATAGGAGCAGAAGCCAAGTCACCAGACTCCACACACAGCAGAGCCCACAGCTCTGACCAGGGTCCTTGATGTAGGTACACCGCTGCCCCCAGGGATGGTGTTTGGCCGGCTTCAGCACTGGGGATTAAACCAGGGGTGCTTCACCACTGAGCGGCAACCCCAGCTGTTGTTACTTTTTATTTTGAGACAGGGTCTCCCTAAGTTGTCCAGGCTGGCCTTGGACTTGTGATCCTCCTGCCTTGGCCTCCTGAGCTACTGGGATGGCAGGTGTGCACTGCCACGCCCAGCTGTTTTGTTTTGTTTGTTTGTTTTTGATACTGGGGATTGAACTCAGGGGCACTCAACCACCGAGCCACTCCCCCAGCCCTTGTTTTGTGTGTATAATTTATTTAGAGACAGGATCTCACTGAGTTGCTTAGCACCTCGCCATTGCTGAGGCTGGCTTTGAATTCACAATCCTCCTGCTTCAGCCTCCCGAGCCACTGGGATTTCAGGGTGTGCCACTGTGTCTGGCAGAAGTAGTTTTTTTTTTTTTTCCAGTGGTCCTTTCCCATGGAACCATTTGGAACGAGAGTAGCCTGATGTGACGTGTGGCTGCATCTCTGGCTTCTCCATGCTCCACTCAGAGTGTGTGGCTGCACCTTCCGCGTTCTTGGCTCCTTTCAGGGTGGCACTCACCACCTGCACAGCCACCAGGTGGCTGCCAGTTCTAGTCACCTGCTGACCAAACAGCCTGTGGTTTGCAGGTGGGTCTTTCCCGCCCAGACCTGCACCCCGCCCAGACCTGCACCCCGTCCAGCAGGGAGCTGCCAGGTCCTGGGCCTCGGCCTCAGGCTGAGGAGTGCACAGGACAGAGGCTGTTCCCTTCCCCACACCAGGTATGGCCTTCACTCTCATCCTGTGACCTCACTTGGCTTTTGTGTTACTGGGGGTGGAATCGGGTGCTTTACTGCTGAGCCACACTCTTAGACCTTTTTAGATTTTTATTTGGAGACAGAGTCTTGCTACACTGCCAGGCTGGTCTTGAGTTGCAATCCTCCTGCCTCCGCCTCTCAGGTTGCTAGGACCACAGGTGTGCACCACTATGCCTGGCTTGCTTGTTTTTTTCCTGAGCTAATTCCAAAAAACAGTTGTTTACCACAAATCTGACCCCAAATTGGAACATGCTGCCCTACAAGAAGGTGGCCACAAGGAGTTCCCACCCATAGTAGGCACAGTAGGCACCTATACACCAGGCTGCCCAAGGTCAGCTCCTGGGAAACCGCGTCCTTCAGGTGGCCCCCAACCTGATCCTCATGGAGACATCTCACGTCCCCAAAGACCTGGAAGGGGAACTTGAGACATTAAAATGACTGTCTCCTTCAAGACTGCTAGCACCCTCAATGCCGCACACTTTCTTTCTCCCCAACACTCCTCCCTTGGGCCTTGGTTTGTCTGGGAAGCAAGCTTCCGAACCTAAGTTTGGTAACAAAGACTTATACAGCCCATCTGGGCACACTGATCACACCTGTATTCCCAGCAACTTGGGAGGCTGAGGCAGGAGGATCCCAAATTCAATGCCAGCCTCAGCAACTTAGTGAGGTTTTAAGTAAATTAGTGAGACCCTGTCTCTAAATAAAAAGAAAAATGGGCTGGGGATGTCGTTCAGTGGTTGAGTGCTCCTGGGTTCAATCCCTGGTACCCAAAAAACACACAGTCCACATAAAACATTACCAGAAAAAGTTGTTAAAGGAAAGAAACTGACGATTCAAGGAAGAATACAAAGATGTAATAAGGAAATAGAAAATGACCAAACTTGTACATGATCAGAAGTCCATCCCCACCCCACCATTCAAATCAGCAAAGGGTCAGGAAGTCACATGCTCAGAATCCTGGGGCTGCGGAGGGTGGAGGGCCTTTGCTAGCTGTATTTTCTCACCCCAAAGTTCTACTTTGACTCCCACCAAAGGAAGAAGTGTAAACTCCAGCAAATTCAGACAAACACAGGCCAGTTTGCCGTGGCGTCTCTCCAAGGTGAAAGGACTTGCAGAGCCTCCTTTCAATGGGAAATGTGTGTCACCTAGGAGCATCTGGGGACAAATGCTGTCAACATGCAGAGGGCAGGCGCACACGTGGGGTCTGGGTCTCCCGGGCCTCTGGGTCTGTGTGTGGGCAGCAGAGCCAGGGCACTGTGCAGACCCTGCCCAGGAGGGAAGCTGCCCAGGCTCCCTGACATTGTTCAAAGTCAGTAAAATGCAACATCCCACGTGAAATGTAAAAATCTCTACAATATTGTTACAAATTTGCTTTTGAAATTACCAGGTACAGCCAGCTTGCTGAATAAAGCCAGGACAGATGGGCGGTTGCCAGCACGGTAGGCTTCGTGCCAACCAGGAAATTCTGCTCCAGAAGCTGTGCCCTGATTGTAGCTGGCAAAGGTCCTGCTCTGGGCTATCCATGAGGCCAGTGACTGGCAGAGTGTTGGAGAGGGCTGAGAGTGACAGGCAACGGGCGAAAGTGGGGGGCTCTCGCCTATGTGCCACCTCGCAGGGGCTGCGGCAGTAACCCTGTATAGGGATTGGGGGACGGCTCTCCTGGCCACAGCCAGTGGGTGCCAAGCATTAATTCTGGGGTATCGCTTCCTCAGACATCCCTGGCTCCTGCTCATGCCCAATCTTGAAAAGCCAGTTCCATATCCTAAGAGTCATTAGTGAAAGATCTGGAGGCTTCTTGGAGGCATTTCTGTTCAGATGTGACCGGGGCTTAGCCAATTCCAAGACCTGTGCAGTCCTCTGGATGCCAAAGTTAGGCAAGAGAAGACTGATATCTTGTTCGTTCTGTGGTTCGTTTTTTTTTTTTTTTTTGTATCGGGGATTGAACTCAAGGGCACTCGACCACAGACACATCCCAGTAAACTATTTTGTATTTTACTTAGAGAGAGGGTTTCACTGAGTTGCTTAGAGGAGGCAGGCTTTGAACTCGCAATCCTCCTGTCTCAGCCTCCTGAGCCTCTGGGATTACCGGTGTGCGCCACTGTGTGGGCTTATTTCTTATTTCATTTTATGTTTTGTAGTTACTCTGGATTGAACGAGCGCACTTTACCGCTAAGTTACACTCCCAACCCTTTTATTTTTTATTTTGATACAGGGTCTCACTAAGTTACCCTGCTGGCCTGGAATTTGTGATGGCCCTGCCACAGCCTCCAAATATACATACTTCCCCAAATCCCTGTAAAAGCCTGGCTGTGATCACAGACCTGGCCACTGTGCCAGGCTGGGGTTCCCATTCAGGTGAACACTAGAGTTTCACTTCTACTTCTTTCATTTAAAAATGTTTCCATTTTTAGGCCCAAGCCCTGACCCACTCCCTGAATACCTGCTACCCCTCCACCTACCCCTAATGTCCCTGGGGGGACAATCCCACTCAACGGGAGTGGGAGACACTAGGGCAGCTACCCCGAGATCAGACAGAGGAGGCTGACCTTAACAGACCCTTAGCTATATGACGATGGAGAAACTAAACTAACGAAAAACAAGTGTAATACTTTAAAAGTTGCCTGTGATCCTAGTGACTTAGGAGGCTGGGGCAGGAGTATCACAAGTTGGAGGCCAACCAAGAAATATGTCCCCCAAAGGGCTGGGGATATAGCTCAGTGGTAGTGTTTCAGGAGACAAGGCAGGACACAGAAAATAGCAGGAATCAGTTTTATTTGGCTGCCGCCAGGCTCAGAGGGTACAGCTTTTGCTGTAATCAATTAATCCCCCTGAACTCCAAGTTCAGGCAGTTTCAGAACTTTATGCCCAGCGTGTAAGGAGAGGCTCAGAAGTTCACAGTCAAGTTCACACACAAGAAAGGCTTTTTCTTTTTACTGTTCTGGGCATGTTAACCCTTCAAGGACAGCGACTGAGAAGGGGAGTCTTCTCCCCTTTCCTTCCCTCACCCTGCCAGCTGTCACCATAGAGCCAGCTAGTGACATTATCTTTGATATGTAAACATCAAGGCCAGGGATCTAGTTAAGAGAACCTATTTTTCTTATCACACTCTGCATTTGCAGACACACTTCCCTTGAAAGCCTTTACAAACTGTTTCACATACACGTGCTCCATAGTTCACAGATGTCGGTGAAGAAACAGTAGAGCGGTGCTGCACACCTGGCGCGCCGACCGCCCAGGCCGGGGGCCAGGTGAGGCAACAGGAGCCAGGAAGCTCCAGGACCCTGAGCCCCTGCAGAGGCTCTTGCTGAGAGTCCTAAGATCAGTTACGGAGACGCCTTCTGGAGGAGTTTAATTCCGATTTCCTGTGGGGGAGAGAGTGCCTCTACAAGGGCACCCCGGGTTCACCCCCAGTACCGCACAACAACTTTTAACACTCAGCCTCTGGCCCTGCAGTGACGCCGCCGCAGAGCACACCGCAGCCGGCTGGGCCGCCCCCCGGCGGAACCCGGAACCGCAGGTGCCGCGCAGGCGCGGGACGGCCCGGAAGCCACGCCCCGGGACGGGCCCTCCGAGGCTCGGCCCACCAGCGCGCGCCGGGCGTGGTGGGTGGCTCCGAGGGCGGCCCCAGCGGCCGCGAGGCTGTGCCGCCGCGGCCTTCCTGGCCGGCCAGGCGCGCGGGGCACCGAGGGGCGGGCGCCCGCCGGGTGGCGAGGAGTGCGCCGGCTTCCTGTGCGTCACCTCCGGCCCCCGCCGCGGCGTGTCCCCGCTCCAGCCCGGGCCTGCGGGCCCCTCCCGCGAGGCGTCGCGGTGCACACGAGCGCCGCCCCCTCTCCGGCCGGCCGCGGTGGTGGGCGGGTCCGGCCCGCCGCCCCCGGGCGGTGTCCGCCGAGCACGTGAGCCAGCACGAATGACAGCGCGCCGCCGCCGCCCGCCCCGCGTCGGCCCTGGCCCGGGACCCCTGCGGGCGGGCGGCCCCCGCGCCCCCGCGCCCCGCGCCGGTCGGTCCTCTCTGCCCCGCGCGCAACCACGTTGTGGTCGTCCGCGCGGAGACGCGGCCTCGGTCCCTCCTGCGGCGGCCACGCGTGCCGGGGACACAGGTAGGGCGGGGGGCGGGGTCTCAGGAGCCGGTGACACAGGTCGGGCGGGGACTCAGGGCGGGGGCGGGGTCTCGGGAACCCGGGACACTGGTCGGGCGGTGGACCTGGACACTGGGGGCCGGGGACGCGGGTGGGGAGGTGCCCAACCGGGGCCAAGGCCCCGTGGCATGTGCCTCGCGAAGTCGCCCCTTCCTCCGTCGGGAGGGCAACTCGCTGGGAAACTGGACAGCGGTGCACGGCAGGGCCCTGTGAGGTGGCAGCGCAGCCCCAGCCAGGCCCAGAGCTGCGGGTCCCGCGCGGGGAGTCTGCTTTAACCGTCGTGTTTCCGGCATTCTGACAAACAGGCAGTTCCCCGCAAATTTGTTCTCTGAGCAGGGAACATCTTTGCAGGCTTCTACAAAAGAGCAAAACAAAATGTACAACACCACTGTTTAAGCAGGAATTTCTTGTTCAGTGGCTTTTTTAAAGGTCCTTTCCCCCCAAGTTCAGTGTACTTTATAAGTTTGCAAATAACATTTTAACACCGAATGAAACTACTAACATTAAAAGGGACATTAAGAGAGAAGTGCAAGGTGGGCATGGTGGTATACGCCTGTGATCCCAGTGACTGAGAGAGTTGAGGCAGGAGGTTGGCAAGTTCAAGGCTAGCTGGTCAAGTCAGCAAGGCTCTATCTCAAAAGTAAAAATTTAGAAAGGGTCGGTCGGGGGTGTAACTCAGTGGTAGAATGCCCTGGGTTCAGTCCCCAGTACTGAAGAAAACAAAGAGGAAATAGGAAGGTTTTCACATTAACATTATCCATTTTCAGTGTAGAAAAATGAGAGAATGTAGAAGAGAAAAGGAATAAAAATGGACTTGGTGTCCCCCTGCTGGAGCTGGACACAGCCGGAACGGTGCTGTGTGCCGAAGCGTGGCATCCCGGCCGAGGGTGGCGGGCAGCATCTGTCCGCACTCTGTGCTTGAGTTCCTCGGGCACTCCTTGGTGTGTATTCCTGGGGGCTTCCAGTTTCTACTTGGGAGACCAGAGCTTAGCAAGCAGCCCCAGGCCAGGCAGAGGCTGGAGCCACTCAGGTGAGGATTCTGAACCCCATGAGTGTGGGTTGTCAAGCGTGGATGTGCCCTGACACCCTCACCAAAAATGGAGACCAGTCAGGCAGAACACCTGGTGACATCTGCTTTGCTCCAGAACAGCTTCTGAACTGGGTCCATGGCTTGGAATCTAGGGATAGTGAAGATGTTGGCCAGAACGTTCTCTGGCCAGCAGGTCCGGTGCACACAGTGCTGGCAGCTCGGGGACCTTGAAGCCCAGCATCTGCCCGCTCACTGGGGCTCAGCACTGTGCAGCTTGTTCCCTGTGAGCCCAGCCTGCACACATCCTTCCGGCTGGGGCGGGAGGGACAGGAGCCACCCCCTCCATTTCTGGCCCGAGCAGGTGGGCAGCACGCCCACTCCCCAGCTCCAGCAGCTCTGTCCCCAGGTGAGGTTGGCCATGCATGCCCTTCCAGCATTTGTGTACCAGACGGCTGCTGACCTCAGTCCTTTGCAGAATAGGAATTGAGTCACTGAGGCCAAGAGGGATGGTGGGCCCAATCCCGTGGGGACTCCATGCTTTGCTAGACTGTGTAGCTCTGGCTCAACCCCATGTAGCCTGAGAGGGGCTGACAAGCCCCCAGGGGTCTTGTGGCCTCCCCAAGTGGATGCTGCGTGGGATCCAAGCCCCAGGCTGAGCCAGGCACAGGTGGAAGAATGTCCTTCCTTCGGTCACTCACCTTGTTGAGGTTCACTTCTGCTGCCTGCCGTCCCCATGTCACCTTGCAAAAACTTTGGAACTGACTTTGGTCAGTGTGGGCTTGAAGTGCTGTCTCAGGGGGTTGACTTTTCATCCCTGATTGTTGGGGTGAGGCTGGAGTAGGCAGCCTCTGAGGTGACCCCATACCCCCTGCAGGGGGTCTGTGCAGGCCTGGCTTCCAGACCCTGAGCGAAGGGGTTGCCCCAGGAGGAGGTGGAAAGGGACCCCTGCCCTCACCCCACGAGGAGCTACTGATCTTCATCTCTTCACTGTGTGCCTGCACAGCAAGAGGGACTCAGAGAGTAAATGGTCTCTTGTTTCGTTTCTCTTTTTAAACACTGGGGACTGAGCCCAGAGGTCCTCTTCCACTGACTCACACCCCCAGCCCTTTTTATATTTCATTTTGAGACAAGGTCTTGCTCAGTTGTTGAGGCTGGCCTCAAACTTGCCATCCCCCTGCCTCAGTCTACCTAAGCCTCCTGAGCATGGGGCCACCACACCCAGACTTCAAACTTTGTATCTTAAGAAAAGTTCAGACTTCGGGAAGAGCCATGTGAGTGTTCCTGTGCACCCTCTGTCTGCCTCAGCGTTGACATTTTACTTGGCCTCAGGGTGACTGTCTGCCGTGGGGAGTTAACTCCAACACAGCGTAGTGGACTAGTCCTCAGGCTGTGGTGCCCCCGGGGTCCCCCCGGGTGGGTGCCAGGACTGTGCCACCTATGTGTTTCAGACCTGCCTGACACCTCTCTGGGTCAGGTTTGCCATGGTGCAGGAAGACCCCTTCTGGGCTGGACGGAGCTCAAGCCTTGGTCTCCCATCTGGAGCTTTCCTCTGGCCACAGGTTCCTGTCCTTCACCTGCAGGTGATGCAGGCCCTGGTTTCTGTGGGGACAGGGTTCGCAGAGTGCGGCTCCACTGCCAAGCTCTGTGCAAGGGCTTGGTTCTTCCCTACCTGTCAGTCCTGATGGCTCTGTCTGCTTGTCTGTCTGCCTGATGGTGTCCTGTTTGGCAGCTGTGGAGACTGCTGTCCTCAGGCCTCTGGGTCCACCCCAAGGCTGCAGGCAGCTGCTCCTCCCTGCTGGCGGCCTGGTAGCTACTGATCCTTGATCTTTGATCCTCAGCATTGATCTGTATCTAAATGTTCTCCTGCCCCACAGCGGAAGTGTTTCAGCAAAGAGGACTTGCTCCTGCCTCTCCGGTCCCCAGCCGGGCTCTGCCCGCCTCCTGCTCCCTGGCTTCTTCTCAGCTGTGACGGGCCTCAGAGCCTCCCAGTCGCTGAGGAGCTCCCTGGTGAGACCTGGTGAGATGCTGCTTCTGCCTCTCTGACTAGCGTCCATGGCCCTGGTGTGTGGTTTAGCCGAGGCTGTCTCAGGTCTGTGGCAGCTGAGGTTCTCCCTTCGCTCTCCTCCCTCCTTCCTCTCTGGGCTCATTTCTTTCTGCGTCTCTGCTGGTTTCCGCCAAGAGGCCCTGGAGGCCACTGGAGGTGCAGGCGCCCTGTTCCAGGCCCCTGGCGGGTCCTGGTCCTGCCGCACTCCCCAGAGGCGGCTCCTCTGCCTGCCAGGGGTCTGCGGCTGCCTCCCCTCCTCATCTCCCCCACGACCTGGGCTTCTGGAGCAGTGAGCCCTCAGCTGCCTGGGCCTCGGCCTCCTTGAATTCTGTCGCAGATGTCCACACTGGTGTTTAGGGTGCTCCAGCAGGCTCCTGCCACAGGGGTGGAAGGGAGGCCAGGTGGGTGCAGAGCCCCCTTGTCCAGGGCCTCCAGGGAGGACAGCGGCCTGGGTAAAGCCTGTGGGTCTTGCTGGCCCTCACCTGGCCCTGCTCCCTCCTCGTGGCACCCATGGCTCATAATAGGTGAGTGGGCATCTGTGAGAGCCCAGCTGTCCTGAAGACAGGCTGAGAGTGAGCATGCGTCCCGAAGCTGAGGTCTCCTGGCCCCGCTCTAGATGTGGTGGGCAGCAGGTGGGTCTGTTGAGAGGCCCAGGTCCCCCACCTGCTCCTCTCTGCCCTGGACCCTGAGGGAAGCTCAAGATTCACCGAGTGCCATCTGGCCGATGGCCAGTGATGGGCTTGTCTCGCCACGCGGCTGCTGCCAGCAGCACACAGGCTGCCTCACTGGGAGGACAGGTGGACCTGGGTACGTGCACACTCGGCCGTGTGTCCTAGCAGCTGGACAACGCAGGCCATTGGCTCCCTGGGTTCCAGCTCTGCATTTGCAGGAGATGGACAGCAGAACACAGGGAGGCAGCGAGAGCCTGTCCCACAATGTCCACGCCTGTCCTGGGGGTGGCACTGTGGCCCATTGCCTGGGAGGACACGGAAGCTCCGAACTCAGCCTGAAGAACAGCGGCTGTGGGCATCACCCTGTCCACTGGGTTGCTCTGCTGTTTCCCAGAAAGGAGGGAGTGGCCACCACCTCCACTGCTCCTGCTGCCCTCTCCGCCCCGGCCCCCTTGGTGCAAACTTTTGTCCCCAAGCCTTGCTCCAGGGGTCTGTTTTGAGCGAGCCCTACAAAGCAAGCCAAGGCCAGTTTGTGGAGGCTATAGCTGCAGGGACGCAGGCAGCCAGGGACTGGCACACCCCACCTTTCTGCTGGGGTCTTCCACAGGCAGCGGAGGCCAGTCTCAACTCCAGGGAGCAGGAGCAAGGGCCGGGCAGTGGGTCTGCAGGAAGGGCTGCCAGGTGCTCCCTCCATCCCGCATCCTGGCAGCTGGCAGTCACATCTGCAGTTCTCCCGGGACTTCAGCTGTTTTGGGGCCTGAGATAATCTTGAGATTATTTTTGGTCTTTGTCCTTAGTTCCTGGCACAGGACTCTTAAAGCCTTTGGAATTTCCTGAGTGATGGGAATATGCTGTTACTTGCCGGGTGCCTCTTTTGGGTGGAATGGAGTTTGTGCGTTGAGTGGCTCAGGCAAGAAGTCGAGCATCAGAGGGAGCTCTGCCTCCCCTCGGCCTCCAGGAAGTGCGCACTGGAGATCAAGCACCATGAAGACCTGACGGTCCCCTCCAGGGTTGCTGAGCAGGCATGCCGGGAGAGAGGCGGTTGGGCCCAGGGCCACTCACCTTACCCTGCACCTCTCATCTGTCGGGCAGTGTCTCCACGGTGATGTGTTCCCAGATCTGACAGCGGTCCTGGCAGAGTGGCTGGACTTGAGGGGATTCATGGGAACCCTGGTGTGTAACCATCACGCCCTGGGCCTGTGGACTTCTGCACCTCGACTGCTCTTGAGCCTTGAGTCGCCCCTTCAGCCTCAGGCGTGCCCCTGGCAGGGGAGCCCCAGCCCTGGCTTCCCTCCTGGCCTGCGGCTGTGAAAGCACGCTGCCAGCTCCTCCGCTGAGACACTCGGCTGTTTTCTTCTTTGGTTGTCTTTGCTCTGAGTGACCCCGCAGAGCTCCAGACAGACCTTCTTAACGGCAGGGGAGCACGCCTCCCAGGGCCGCCTGGCTCTTGCTAAACCTGGCTTAGGAAGTGCCTGGGTGATTTTCGCCTGTTGCTCCTGTCACCTGCTCTGGCTAGAAAGGTCACATCCAGCAGAGTCTCTGGAATCTGTTTGCTTCTGTCCTGCCAGCTGCCCTGGGCAGCGATGTGCACAGGGCCTGGGTGCCAGGGGTGGCGCGGCATAGTGGCTGTCTGCCTGTCCACCCTTGAGCACGAGTGAGGGGGCGTTCTCAAGGTGCTGTGGGCCTCTCTGCTGGCCACTGCAGCCTCAGGAGGAGGTCGCACCATATCAGTGTCCTTTGGGAGTGGAGAGGTTAACAGGGCAGAGGACGGCGTGGGCACAGGAGCAGGGCAGACAGTGGCCACTGAGGCCGTGCAGGGGGTGCATGGGAGAAGGGGTCTGTATGATGACTTCCTGTGTACATCTATGGCCAGGGAGCTCACCCTGTGGGTGCTGGTGTGGCCCAGGTGCTGGCTGGTGGAGGAGTGGCACAGCAGCCTGTTCTCAGGGAACGCTGCGGTAGTGAGGTGAAGGGACCATGTGTCTGGCTCCTGTATGAGGCCTTGGCCAGGAACAGAGCGTCCCAGGTGGCACCCTGGGCCCTTGGTATCTCACTACCACAGTGAGCAGTGGGAGGGCAGGTGTCAGGCTGCCTCTAGCCCTGGATGACGCTGCCCATGTCACACAGCCTCATGGCCTCAGCAGAGACAAGGGCCCTGGGCTCTGGGGCCAGCATGACCTGCTGCTGTGGCAGCTTTGCCTGGAATGCCGTGACTTCCTCAGCAGGAACCGTGGGAGACCTTCCTGGCAGAGGGAGTTGCTCAGCCAAGGGTGAGCTGAGAGGCCTGTGCTCTGAATCCAGACTGTGTTCCGTCGCCAGACAGGAAGCCCACGCACCTCGTCTTCCCTTGCAGAGAACAGGCACAGTGGGAGCTGGTGTTGTTCCCCCAAGCTCAGGCAGTGCCTGTGTGACAGGTCCCAGGCCGGAGGGACAGGGTGCCTCTTGGTCTCCTTATCAGGATCTGGGTCTGCCGTGGAAGGGGGCACCCACAAGGGGCTGGGAAACAGCCCCCTGGCAATGGTGTGCTGGTGAAGGCGCGTGGGCAGCCATCTGGAGAGGGCTGTGCTGGCTAGTCCCACGGGCTATTTAGCTGCTTCAGAAAGGAGCCCCCAGGGTGCCCAGGGCATTGGATGATGGCAAGGTGACCGGTCTACCTCCAGCCAGCCCTGGACCCGGTAGGAAGGGTGGGATAGAGCAAGCTCTCCCTGTGTCCCCATCTCAGGCCAGAGCCCCGGAGAGAGCCACCAGCATGGTCACCAGGGCAGATGGTGCTGCTGTGCTGGGACAATGAGGAGACAGCATTTCAGCGTGGACCGGATGAGCCGTCCTCACCCTGGGGCAGCGGGACCCCACGCACGTGGGTGGCTGAGAGAGGCTGCGGTTGCTGGCACAGTAATAGCCGGCTGGACAGATGGGTGGACTGTGGGAGGGGGCTGACCCCAGAGCCTCCAGCCTTGCCCTGCACCAGGAGCAGGGAAGGGTCGCCAGTCACACTGTGGGGAGTCGGGCCGGTCTCCATGGCTGACTGGGGAGCCTGGAGCACACAGGTGGATGAGCAGGGAGCTGGGAGGCCGCAGCGTAGGACTCACCCATGAGGTGAGGTGTGGGTGGGCTGTCCCGAGGTGGACCTGGGGAGGTCAGTGACAAGCAGAGCCACCCTGCTGCAGGCCGGGTGACTGGGAGAGCAAGGGAAGGTGAAGGGCGCCCTTTTAAACGCAAAGCTGAGCCCAGAGAAGAAAGTGGCCGGGACCCAGGACCCAGGAGTCTGCTCCAGAGGCTCTGTTGGGCTGGGGCCCTGGACTCAGGTTTGAGTCTACTTTTGAAGGGGGACCTTGGTCCTTGTGACGGAGCAGGTCTTTGTCACCGAGGGTTGTATAGAGCAAGAACCAGGAGAGCGCCCTGGCACAAGGGAGAAGGTGGGCAGATCTGGCCCTGCCCACAGCTGTAGGAGTGGCCATCTGGCGTGAGCATGGCTGTCCAGGCCTGAGGCAGGGCACGGGCAGGGGCAGCCTCAGCCTGGAGACCACGGAGCTCAGCAGGGTCTTGGTCTTGGTCTCCTGCCAGGAAGGAGGGCGAGCCCAGAGGAGGGTGACCACTGAGGCTGAGCTATTGCAGTGACCCAGGCCTGCAGGGCCCTGGGTGGGGTGGGAGAGGAAGGGCCAAGGTCAGCCTGGCCTGCACTGTGGACACAGCCCTCAGGACCTGCTCGAGAGCTGCTGTGTGAGGGAGAGGAGGGTCAGCTGGGGGTGGCCAGCTTCGGGCAGGAGGATCCTGGAGTTGGTACATTTTTTAGGGGCAGTGGACTCTCGGTCGATCTGAAGACAAGCCTGAGTGCACGTGCCCTGTGCAGCCCCCGGCGGCTCTGGCTCTGCTTCTCGTGGTGACCGAGCTCCTTTCCTCAGCAGCCTAGCCTCTGCCTCCGCGCCCTGCTGGGGAGAGGCAGTGTCAGGGGCCATGTTCGTGCCAGCCGGGACCACGGCGTCCTCTCCTCTGCCAGCATCCTCGCACCTGGGCAGTGGCCGTGACCTATGCTGCCCGCCCTCCAGATAAGCTGGTTCTCCTGGGCAGGACCCCAGCATGTCATCTTCCACCAAACCCGAGGCTCCGGAGAGCGCTCCCGACCCTGCAGAGGAGCCCAAGGGACAGGCGGCTCTAGCCTGGGGCGCTCTTCTCGGTCACCGAAGCGAGAAGATGGCCTTCACCAGGAGCGCGGGCAGCCCGGAGGAGAGCCTGCTCACTGTCACCATCACGGAGACCACAGTCCTCGAGTCAGGCCTGGGCGTGTGGAGCCCGCGGGCCCTCAGCTACCTGTCGCTCTGGTTCTTCCTTAGCTTCTGCACGCTGTTCCTCAACAAGTACATCCTGTCCCTGCTGGAGGGCGAACCCAGCATGCTAGGTAGTGCCCGGCCGGGAGGGAATGTGGGCGGAGGGCTCAGCGGGCAGTGTGGTCAGCGTGGCCCCCGCGTCCCTCAGGTGCCGTGCAGATGCTGTCGACCACGGTCATCGGGTGTGTGAAGATGTGCCTGCCCTGCTGCCTACACCAGCACAAGCCCCGGCTGGCCTACCCACCCAACTTCATCGTGACCATGCTCTTTGTGGGCCTGATGAGGTAAAGACTGGCACTCGCTCGAGTGTCCAGTTACTCCAGGCATGAGATGCCTCTGGCCACTGATGGTGGGAGTGCTTCTGCCGGCGGTGGCTGGGGCCCTGCTGGGGAGTGTCGGGCCTGGGCCTGAGGAGGCAGTTTGTGCATCTCCATGCCCTGTGTCCTCACCAGATTCTTTGTCAAGAACCAGTTTAGCATCAGCTGGAGGGAAGGTGCCTTCTCCCAGGGTGCTGCCCGGGTATCCTGCAGCCTGAGGGAGTCACACTCAGGGTGCTAAGCCATGGCCGGCAGGATGGTGCTGGCGAGGCTGGTCTGACCCAGAGTGCCAGTGCTGAGGATGCCCGTGCTTGCTGTTAGGTTCGCAACAGTGGTTCTGGGGCTGGTCAGCCTGAAGAACGTGGCAGTGTCCTTTGCCGAGACAGTGAAGAGCTCTGCCCCTATTTTCACCGTGATCATGTCTCGGATGATCCTGGGGGAGTACACGGGTGAGTGGCCCTGGAGCCGGGCTCACCGTCCTGTCCTCCCTGCAGTGTGCTCCAGCTCAGAGCAGCTACAGCCCTGCGGTCACAAAGTGCCAGCCCCTCGCCTCCCCTCCCCGTCGTTTGCTTAGTGGTCATGAGTGCCTACTAGGAGTCTCCTGTGCCTACCAGGAGTAGGGTGCTCGCAGGTCAGAGGGCGCTGCGCCTCATGCCCCAGCCTGGTGGAGACCGGCAGCAGGGTGTCCGGGGTGGGGCTGGTCTCCAGTGGGCCGTAGGTGAGCTTCCTGGGGTTGCTGCACCATGCTCCCCTGAGCCTCAGCACTTGGCTCACCTTAGGACGGCAGTCGTTCCTGGGGACCTCCCATGACTCTCCATGTTGCCAGAGCGTGTCTGTGGGTCTCAGGTCTCTGAGGCCCAGCATACACCCCTCACAGAGGAGGGCCCCACTGTGCAGGCTGCTGCAGGGTGGGCCTTACTTGGGCTTCCTCTTGGTTTGTCTCCCTGTGACTTGAGGAGCTGGTGGCATTTGTTTTTGAGTCAAAGTGAAAGCCCCACCTGTCATCCAAGGGGGTGGGAGGCGCCTGGGCCCTTGGAGGGATCTGTGCCAGTCACCTGTGCGTCCTGCCCTTCAGGACTGCTGGTAAACCTGTCCCTCATCCCCGTCATGGGAGGCCTGGCCCTGTGCACAGCCACTGAGATGAGCTTCAACATCCTGGGCTTCTCAGCTGCATTGTCCACCAACATCATGGACTGGTGAGTCACTAAAGGTGTGCAGGATGGGGGTGCCTGGAAATGGCGCTGGCCTCCTCCTGGATTCACGGGTATTCACGCCCAGCCCAGGCTGGCTCAGAGGCACTCCTGCGACTCAGCAGGGCTCCCAGTGCCTTTTCCTGAATAGCAAAGCGGTAAGTCCCCAGTGAGGCACCTTCTCCTCAGAAGCAAGCCTGACCCTGAGGATGCAGTCCTACTTCAGACGCTGCTCAAGCTGACAATCACCAGGCCGCAGGCTGAGCCACGCACGGGCTCTGGGCCGTGGTGGTGCTCACAGGGGCGTCTGCTCTCCTGGTTAAGTGGCCGTCCACGTTCAGCTGCAAAGAGGCTACCTCTGGTGGCAAGAAACTGCCACATAGCCAGGCCCTGGGAGGCGTGCGGTGTTGCTGGGGTCCTGTGCAGGCAGAGGCCAGGACGCCTTCCAGCCACTGTTTTGATTGGTGCAAAGCAGGTGGTTCCCCACCCGCTGTCAGCCCTGCAAAACCTTCTCTCAGGGTTAATGACTACTGCTGGGTCCCTCTCATTTCTGAGTGACGTAGGGAAAAGCAGCCGGGCTTCCAGGAGCAGGAGCAGGTCGGCACTCCTCTCACAGCAGGGAAGAGCTGGCAAGTCTGAGTAGTGCAGCTGCCTCTAAAAGACAGGAATCATCTTTCTGTTTTGGTCCTGGTGTGGAACTGGGGTGCTCACCCTGAACTCCACCCTGAGCAGCACCCCGAGCTCCATGCTCCACCCAGGCTCCACCCCGAGCTCTATCCCAAGCTCCACCTGACCTCCAACCTGAGCTTCACCCTGAGCTCCACCTGAGCTCCACCTGAGCTCCAACCCGAGCTCCAACCCGAGCTCCAACCTGAGCTCCATCCTGAGCTCCAACCCGAGCTCCAACCTGAGCTGCATCCTGAGCTCCTGACAGCCCTTGCTACTCTCTTGCACTGTGTTTGTGTCCTAGGAGCGTGCCAGGGCCGCACCACCTGTGCGTGTGGTAGGTCTCTGTCAGCTTGTTGGAGGGGCATCATGGCATCGGGTGTCCACAGCCTGATTTCCAGGAAGGCCTCTTGTTCACACGCAGGCAGCACTTCATGTTCACAGGCAACCTGCTGGGTCCTGTGCTCGAGGTCCTGGTTTCTGGCTGTCCTCGGAGCATCCTGGATGGCAGATTGCCTGGCGGAGCTGGGAACCTCTGGAAGGGCTCGGGCCAGGGTCACAGAATCTCGAGCCCGAGCCCTAGTCCGGGCCCGTGGCGGGCCAGTGAGTGCTCACATCGCCTGTCCTCTAGGATGCTGGCGTAGTTTAGTCACAGCTCACACTGTGCTGAGTTCTGAGTGCTGGGTGCTGGCGAAGACACATGTCCTGTGTCCCCACAGCCTGGTGTTCGTGAGCTCCGGCTGTGTTTTCCCACAGGGTCTCCATGTAGGTGAAGTCTGTTGAGTCATGCCCGCCTCTGGAAGCCCCAGGTGCCTGACTGAGGCAGGCTGTGACTCGTGGCAGTTTTATCCAAGAAGGGTTTTGTGAAGCCTGAGACAGGACCCTGAGTACTTCCTCTTGCCCACCCGTGACGGGCGGCATGGCGCCCACCTCCCAGCAGGCAGATGCTTGGAACCCCTGGTGGGGCACCTGCTCCCAGCAGGTGCTCAGCGCTATCCACCAGGCATGGCCATTAATGTCACTGCTAACAGGAAGCCCAGCCCCTGCTCCTGAGGGCCACGCCGACTCAGTTCCATCCTTAACCTTCTCTTCTCTCTGTTCTAGTTTGCAGAATGTTTTTTCAAAAAAGCTCCTCAGCGGGGACAAATACCGTTTCTCGTAAGTATCACAGAGGGGGGACATCTGATTTTGTAAGGCCCATGAGGACTTTTGCCCATTTAAGTTTTCAAATACTGTTGGACAGGATGGCACACACCTGTGATCCTAGTGACTTGGGATGCTGAAGCAGGAGGATCTAGAGTTCAAACTCTAGCCTCAGCAATTTAGTGAGACCTTGTCTCAAAATAGAACATAGAAAGGGCTGGGGATGTGGCAAGGGAGTGGTTATGTGCCCCTGGGTTCAATCCCCAGTGCCAAGAAGAAAGATTCCAGATGCTCCTGGAAGACATGACATGTTTCCCCTGTGGCTTAGGGGGCTTTGAAAGTATTTTGTCAAAAAGTAGGGGAAGGCCGGGCATGGTGGCACATGCCTGTACTCCTAGCGGCTCGGGAGGCTGAGACAGGAGTATCATGAGTTGAAAGCCAGCCTTAGCAACAGCGAGGCAAGGCGCTAAGCAACTCAGTGAGACCCTGTCTGTAAATAAAATACAAAATAGGGCTGGGGATGTGGCTCAGTGGTCAAGTTCCCATGAGTTCAATCCCTGATACCCCACCCCCCCAAAAAAAAATAGGAGAAAAAGAAAACTCAGGGAAAGGACCCTTCAGCTTCCTTGTAGGCCTGACAGCCAGCCTGGTCCTTGTTGCCTTCTCAGTTCTGGGCAGCCATGGGTGTCCACGTCTGTGTGTCAGCACTGTGATGTGTTCTTTCGTGAAATCCCCAGGGAAATCCCAGCCCCCAAGCACGGGGAGGTCAGGAGTCTTCTGTCCCCACAGGGCCCCGGAGCTGCAGTTCTACACCAGCGCTGCTGCCGTGGCCATGCTGATCCCTGCCTGGATCTTCTTCATGGTGGGTTTTAGAAGTGGGCATCCCACTGTAGCTGGGCCCCATCTCTCTGGAAATTTCTGACACAATGACTTACCTTTGCGAGTGGATGGCTGCGGGGTATGTGCTTTGGAGTGGGCTGTACATACAGGAGCTGCCCACAGCTGCAGCAACTTGCAGAGATATCTGTGTGAGGATTTTTAGATTTGTGTAAATTATTTTTTTAACTGGATTTAATTTTTGCAGTGCTGGGGATTGAACGCAGGGCTCTCTACCACTGAGCTGCACTCCCATCCCTTTTTACTTTTCTCTCTATGTTGTGGGGGTTGACCTTGAACTTGCCATCCTCCTGCATCAGCCTCCCAAGTCGCTGGGATCACCGGTGTGCAGCAAGTGATAAATGCCTGCTGCAGAACAGGCAGTGTTGGGAGTGAAGCCTGAGCCGCCCTCCCTGGCCTCACTGCCACACTTACCTGTGCGTGGCGGTGTGAGTCCACGCGTGTGCCAACGCACGCACCATGCATGCGTCACACCTGTGCAGACCTTTCCCTCCACCATGGACACGCCCAGCTGGGGGCCCTGGCTGCCTCCCGCCCTCTCCTTTTGGGAACAGTGGCGCGTTTCTCCCACCCGGGTGCCGTACACCCACGAGGGCGTTTCCTGGGTCACCTTCTCAGAGCTGGAGCGTGCTGCGTGTCTGCATATTTCTTTATCGTGATGAAACACAAAGGACAAGAGCTTCCTGTCTCGATCCTGTCAAGTCCAGGGGCACTAGGCAGAGCATGTTCCCGGTGTCCATCACACAGCCCACCCAGAACTTCGTCTCCAGCCCAGACCTGCGCCCTGTCCAGGGCTCCCCTCCCTCCCCAGCCCCATCGCCACCACCTCCTCTCTGGCTCTGGGCAGTCAACTCCTCTGAGGGCTCCTGCTGGTGGGATCCACAGTGCTTGTCTTTTGTGTCTGGTCAGCACGACCTTTTTTGTATGTGTGGTGCTGGGCACGGAACCCAGGCCTCGTACACGCCCACGGGCGCTCTGTCCCCAGGTTGCCCGCCGCCCAGCACAGCTTTTCTGAGGTTCTTCTCTGATGTGGCATGTGCCACCCTAGCTCCTCCTTAAGGCCGAGTGTTCCCCAAGTGTAGGCAGACCGCTCTGGTTTGTCCACTCACCATCCGTAGGCACTCGAGTTGGTCCTGTTTTGGTCCCCGAGAGTGCTGCTGCTGGGAACTCCGGTCACACGTCTCCCTGGGAGGCCCTGCCTTCAGCTCTTTGGGTATGTGCCCGGCAGTGGGACTGCGGGATGCTGCAGTGACCTGTGTTTGAATCCTGGAGGGACTGCCACCCTGGTCACCACCACACCGTTGCGCAGGTTCCTGTCCCCAGACCCTCTGCAGCACTTTCTGGCTTGGTTGTCTTTTGGCGGTAGCTGTCCTCACAGAAGTGAGGTGGTTCTGTCCTCCCTCGTGACAGCGTCTGTGTGCTTGCGGGGGATCCCGAGTGTGGCAGTTCTGCAGGGACCTTCCTTTGTGCCCTCCTTAGCGGGCCAGCAGAGCAGCCTTTGGTTCTGGCCCTAGGACGTGCCCATGATCGGGAGGAGCGGGACAAGCTTCAGCTACAGCCAGGACATGGTGATCCTGCTCCTGACAGATGGTGCCCTGTTCCACCTTCAGAGTGTCACTGCATATGCCCTCATGGGGAAGATCTCCCCGGTGACATTCAGGTAAGCAGAGACTTCCCGAGAGAGGCACAGTGTGCCCGGTGTTTTGCAGAGAAGACCTGAAGTCTGGCATCTTCCGTGGTGACGCCTGGTGCCCCCGTGCCCAGTCGCTGGGCCGTTCTGCACCAGCACCATGTGAAGTGCAGTGAGCTTGAGAGGAGAGTCCCCACAGGTTTCCACTAGAAGTTGACATTAGAGACGTTTTTGGGACTGGCTGAGTGTTTTTCTCAACAGAGCAGCCAATGGCACTGTCTATGACAGTGGGACCTTCTGCCTTTGTGCTGTCCAGCACAGGAGCCGCCGGCCACACATGGCTCCTGAGCACTCGAGATGTAGCAGGTGCAGCACCAAACAGGGGTCCCTTTTGCGTGTGGTGCCGGGGGTGGTGGCCAGGGCCTGGCCCATGCAGGGCAAGTGCCCCACTCCTCAGCTGCACCCACTCTGGGTACTTTTTTTTTTTTTGGTACCAGGGATTGAACTCAAAGCACTTAACCACTGAGCCACACCCGCATCCCTCTTTTGTATTTTATTTAGAGACAGGGTCTCGTGAGCTGCTAAGAGCCTTGTCAAGTTGCTGAGGCTGGCTTTGAACTCGTGATCCTCGTGCTTCAGCCTCCCTAGCCACTGGGATCACAGGCGTGTGCAACCATGCCTGGCCCTTTCTCTCATTCTTTAGAGAACAGGCTGAAGTATTTAGTGGCAAAATGGTGCAGTGTCTATGAGTTATTTTAAAATATCTCAACACAAAGAAGGAAAGAAGCACATGCAGAAAAAGCTGTTCACCAAATCTAGCTGCTGAGAATGTGGCTGCCGTGTTTTTCCACTTTTCTGTTTGACATTTTTCATAACAAAAAGTGACCCCAGAGAAAGAGGGAAGGAAGGAGGGACCGGGTTTCGCCCTGTCTCCCAAGGCCCCGTGCAGCTGCACCCGGGTGCCCACAGGACTCTCCAGGCCGGCTGCACGTGGCCTGGGCTGAGCGTCCCCTGCCTCTGCCCTGTTGCCACAGCGTCGCCAGCACCGTGAAGCACGCCTTGTCCATCTGGCTCAGCATCATCGTCTTCGGCAACAAGATCACCAGCCTGTCAGCCGTCGGCACCATTCTCGTGATGGTGGGTGTCCTGCTCTACAACAAGGCCAGGCAGCACCAGCAGGAAGTCATGCAGAGCCTAGCCACAGCCACCAGCTGGGTCCCCGAGGACGATACAGAACCAGTGGGTCCCCAGGACCCCAGACAGCATGTTCACCCCTGAACATGGGAGGCCCCTGGCTGCCTGGGCGCTGCATGCTCCCCCTGCCGCTGCATGGTCCCTGGAAACCAGCCAGGGCTGCCCCCTGCATTACACAGTGGGCTGAGGGCCAGAGGCTCGTGGGACACAGACTCCACTGACAGCTGAGCACTGGAGGAGGGACCAGCCTGCACCCCCAGGCTGACCAGGCTGCAGCTGGGCCAGACCCCACCACCTCTGAAGGGACTGCTGGGCCACATGTGCCCGGGCTCCAGTGCCAACACGAGCTTCTCCCTGCCTGGTGCCAACAGAGACCTCAGCTCCCACACCAGCCACCACAGGCCCCGAAGCTGCCTGGTCCCCAGCCATCCACAGACACTGGCCACAGTGTCCCCTGTGGGCTACCTTCCCAGGTGCCAGACCTGAGCAGGTGGACAGGTCCCTAAGCAGAGGTCTCAGCTGCTGAGAGGGGGCTAGACTCCTCTCTCTGCTTCAGAGCTGTCCTCATGGAGGGCCCTATGGCTGCCATTTGACCCCATAGCCACAACATCGTGTGACAGGGATTGTCCACTGAATTGCTCTGTGAGGGGAAAAGCCACCCATCACAGCCTGGCACCGTGCCCCTCACCCTTCACAGCCTGGCACTGAGCCCCTCACCTCTGGGGGGTGGTTGTTCATTCTGGAGGCTGAGGACAGATCTCTTTGAGGGGTTAGCTCCATTCACATCTCAGACTCATGTGTGTGAAGCAGGCTGTTCTGAGGTCCCTGATCTCCTGCTGGACCGCCCTGCTGGACTCCGCGGGGGGGGGGGGCAGCTGAGCAGGGGAGCCCTTGCAGAGCACTTAGCACTCAGGTTATGCTGCGTGACACTCGACTTTCCAACAAAGCTGCAGCCACATGGCTTGTGGACCTGGTGTGTCAGGTGGCCATGTCCAGGCACATGGCCATGGCTGCCCCCGAGGGACCACGATATGGTAGCGCCCCAGCCACTGGGCGGACTGAGTCTCAACTGGGTACTAGAGCTGCAGTCAGGCTGGCACTGGCTCTGCCCTTCGTCCTGCTGGAGTCTGACCTGGGTGCATGCACTCTTTGGCCAGCCAGTCTGAAACCTCTCTGTGCCCTGAGCTTGGGCTTGTGCTTGTGGGCTGCAGCCACTGGCACCCACTGTTCCCGGGCTTATCCCCTCACCACTCGTCAGGTTAGGGGCAACCATCATCAGCTCACTGGTTTTTCAGTTGGTTTCTCAGCTGGGGAATAGGAAAACAGTTCCTCCCAGAAGTAAACTCCCAGAAACAAAGAGCAATAATTATGCCTCATTTCTTTCCACCTACTTGAAAAGGGTTTTTAATGATGATGGATCAAAATGAGGTCTTTTAATCCACAAGCCGCCTTGTTAAAGAAGCTGGCCTGTGTGCGAGGATGGGCCAGCTGTGTGCTCCTGCACGCAGGGTCACCTCCACTGTGAAGATGTTTTCCTGTGTGATTCTGCCCAGGTTTCTGTTTCCTTCCTCTTCTGCTTTCCCCAAAAACTGAAGAAAAAGAGGTGGAGGTGGCATTTGGGTGGTGCTGTTGGATTGATTTGCCCTAAGGCCTGGTCCACTCCCAAGCACATGCTACCAAGCTCTGACAGAGTGAGGGGCAGACACTTTTGAGTTTGCTGAGAGGTCCAGGCGCCTGGCTTCCGAGTATTGTTTCGAATTTCTGGTGCACTGTCTCCTGTGGAATTAGGAAGTTGCCTGTTGTGACTCACCCCTCCCCTCCTGCTTCAAAAGCAGCGCTCAGCTTGTTTTGATTTCCTTAAATCACTAGCAAGCAAGGCAGTTCCTGTAACGATGCTTTGGAGACCTCCATGCATCCTGGGCAGGAAGATGGTGGAAGCCTAGCTTGGCCAACACCAAGCCCTCACCCACACGCACCTTCCTTCCCATCTTGCACCAACCCCTACTTCTCCTGGCACTTCTAGGACATTCCCAAGGCCTGGCTTGGCCCTGTGCTGACGATTCTCTCTTATTATGTCTGTCTAGTCTTTTATGGAACCATGACAGATGTGGTGTGGGAGCCCAGGTGCTGGACCGCTGCTGGGCTGGTAACTCCTCCTGTGGCCTTGGTCTGTGCCTTGTAAACAGCACACCAACCAGACCTTCCCAGTGGGGTGTCTGCTTCTTCCTTAACCCATACTTAGAGGTGTATAGATTTCAAATATTGAAACAACTTCCATGGGGGCTGGGGAGTAACTCAGTGGTCGACCACTTGTCTAGGGTATGCAAGGCCCTGGGTTCCATCCACAGCACTACAAGGGAAAAATGAAAACCTCCACTACTAACTGCATAAAATGCTTTTTAAAAAAATCTGATAGTCATAATTTTCTGTATATCAGCATTAAGAGTCTGCCTGCTGGGAAGTTGAGAACACTCTTGCACAATTCAAAATGTGTCTTTAATTTTTGAAAAATGAACAGTGAGTCAGAGACAGTTTTAAAAAAATGCTACATAAAGAAATCAGCAAAATAGAACTGCTTTGTAGCATGTCTTAAAATACTTGTCAGAAACTTGTGGGCTTAGCTTCCCTGTGAATGACCACTAAAATGGGTCAGTGGACAGCAGAGGCACAGCAGCTTTTATACCTGTCCAAGTGATGGGCGTGTGTGTTTTGTTTAGGTGCTGGGGCACTCCATCACCAAGCTACAGCCCAGCCCTTTTTATTTTTTGAGAGAGTCACTAAATCACCCAAGCTAGCCTCAAACTTGCCATCCTCTTGCCTCAGCCTGCTAAGTTGCTGTGGTCACAGGTGTGTGCTACTGTGCCCAGCTCCAAGCATTGTGCTTTCTAAGGTCTGGAAGTATTTACACTGTTACCCTGGGTTGGAAAAAGTAAGCACCTATGTTATCATAGACAGAAATCAATTTTTAAATTTTTTTTTTGTAGTTGTAGATAGACAGAATGCCTTTACTTTTTTTATTTTTTTTTTTAATGTGGTGCTGAGGATTGAACCCAGTGCCTCAGGCATGCTAGGCAAGCACTTTGCCACTGAGCTACAGCCCCAGTCCCAATTTTTTTGTGGGGGTGGGGCTTTCTACCAAGGGCTTCATTCCTTCTTAAAATATGTTCACTGCCTGGTTGGAACTTCTTTTATGTGGGATCAAACCCAGAGCCTAGCTCATGGTAGGCAAGTGCTCTACCTCATGGCTACGCCCTCCACCTATTAAATTAAAAAATGAGAACATCCCAGTTTTCCTGATGAACATCCTTGCTCCTCTGCCCTGTCTAAGGAGCCAAGAGCAGATCCTTCAGATCATGCTGATTGTGAGTTGCTGCTAACTGCAACTCAGTACAGAAAACTTCAACTTCACACTCTCTGGGATATTTCTCCCTGTTTTTCTGGGGTTCTTGATTCTGGGTTTGGTAGTTGCTGGACCATTACTCAGACATCCAAATTCAGTTTGAAAAGTCTTTTGTTTTTGGTTTTCATTTCTGGAAAAGTGCATTCAGCTCATTTGCAATTTCTAAACTATTTGCAGACATATGCTCCTGCCTTCAGGGTATTGTAGACTCCATCCCAGAGGACTACAGTAGGGTGACATTCCCACGCTGAAAAACTTGATAATCATATCAGTAATTGCCTGCATCAGAGCCAAATTACATTTGCTTTATACCAAACAAGACTGTGGAGAACTATCATACAAAACGTTTATGCTGTTTTGTGTGTCACCAATTTCAGTATTTATGTGACTAGATTAATGCTTTCAAAAAATTTGGTTCTCTTAAATAACTTAGGTGAATCCCTGTTAATTCCACTCTGGTAATAAATTGGTACTGTGTAATTAATCCTGTGGATGCCTCCTGGTTACTTTTGTCTAAATGAAGCAGCTAAGGTAGCCATGGTCAGTGGCTCATGTACTACAAAAGGGGGATCAATGTCAAGTGTGCACTTCCATTCTCCTTTGTATCTCTTCCATTTATGCCAACAAAATTACCAAACGCGGTTTCTTATTGCCTTCACCAGTTTCTGGCAGGGAGGGAGGGGAAAAATAAAGGCTCTCTGGTAACTAAAATTCGGGAAGTAAACATTTCATTCAAGGGGGGAAAGAATCCCAATACCCCTCAACTTTTTTTATGCCCTTGTCTATTTCTTGTTAATCTTCTGCATTTTTGCATTTTCAGATCCATGGCTGTAACTTCAGTCGTCTCTTCAAAATGATTCAGGATGTTGCTGGACTTTTTAAAAAGTCCACAGCATAACTTGACATGGATATATGGAACACTAGTCCCATTTTAGCAAGTCTCCCAGGAAAGTTCTGAATTCTGTAGGCTGAGTGAGACTTAGGGACCCTGAAAAACAAAACTGCCCATGGATTTGAAAAGCATCTTTTCAAAAGAACAATGCAATAGCATCACACTGTGAAGCTCTCTCCCTGCTCTATTTTTGTACACGTTTAAAAAACAAAATTATAAGGGCTGGGGTTGTGGCTCAGTGGCAGAGCGCTTGCCTCACACACACGAGGCACTCGGTTCTATCCTCAGCACCACATAAAAATAAGTCAATATAATAAAGATTTTTAAAAAACTTATGGCTAGGGTTGTGGCTCAGTGGTAAAGTGCTCGCCTGGCATGTGTGGGGGCTGGGTTCCATCCTCAACACCACATAAAAATAAAGATGTTGTGTCCACTGAAAACTAAAAAATAAATATTAAAAAAATTCTCTCAAAAAAATGAAATTATTAAAACAAACAAAATTATGAGCCAGGAACAGTGACTGAACGCCTGTAGTCCCAGCAGCTCAGGTGGCTGAGGTGAGGATCACCTTAGCAACTTAGCAAGACCTTTCTCAGGTCTTAAGCAACTTTGAAAGACCATGTTTCAAAATAAATTTTAAAAAGTGGGATGCGGCTCAGTGATTAAGCACCTGTGGGCTCAATCTCTGGTACCAAACAACAAAACAAAATCAGCCAGGTGCCCATGGAGCAGACGTGTCATCCAAGGCGGGAAATGAAGCAGGAGGATCACAAATTCCTGCCAGGCTGAGTAATTAGCAAGATCCTGTCTCGAAATAACAAAAAGGACTGGGCATGTAGCTGGTAGAGCGCCTGTCGAGCATGTGCGAGGTTCTGGAGCACTGACTCTCCCCGCCAAATTACAACAAAAGTTCTTAACTGGTTTTATTTGCGATTCCAAAATGGGAGTGAATCGAATGACTGGACCCCTGAGCAGAGAAGTTGTTACGACAGAAAAATGTCTGATCATCCCAAATTTGCTCGCGTGGACAGGCTGGAGCGGGGCTTCCTGCAGCCAGAGCCCCGACGCTCGTTCCCCAGGCTAGGAAGGTTTCCGCTGCGTGGCGTGGCCTTAGCACCAGCGCGGCGCGGTGGTCCGTCGCGGGCCCTGGGCGGGAGCGCCGAGCGGACCCGGGCCCCCGGGAACCGCGGGAGGACGCAGCTCTTCCGCAACAGAGCGCTCAGCGCGTCGCCGAACCCGGCCGCCACTCGAGCAGACAAGCCCGGCGGTGGCGCCGCACGAAGGGTGCGGTCGCCTCCGTCCACCTATCGGCCTCAAAGAGATAGACCCAAACCAGTGTCGCTCTCGGGGCAGGACTCGCCCAGGACGGCGCCACGACGCCTGCGTCACCAGCCCGTGACGCTCAGAGCCACAGCACGCGAGGACTTCCTCGCCTCTAGTCCTAGACCGGAAGTTGCCTTGCCCCGTGCGTCATCAGCATGCGCCGACACAGGAAGTGGCGACACTCCTGACGCCTGACAGGAGCTGTTTCCTCTCCGAGTCCTGGGTCGGAATTCCCCAGCCCCTACTCTCGTGCGTCATCATCGGGCGCCAAAGCAGGAAGTGACGACGCTCCTGGCGCGCGCCGGCCGCTGTTTCTTCTCAGGCTCGGGGACCGGCGGCGGCGGCGGCGGCGGCGGTGGCGGCGGCGGTGGCGCTGGGGTGAGTGGCGGCGGGGCGGCCCGGGCATGGGAGCGCGGGGCGGCCGGCGGCCCCGAGGTCTCGCGAGCGAGCGGCCCTCGGGGCTGTAGGGGGCATGGGTTCGGCGGCGGTCGACCTTCCCGCTCCGCTGTCCAGTCGCGTCCCGCTCCGAGCTTCGGGCGGACGGGGTGGCGGGCCCCGGCGCTCTCCTGAGCCGTGCGGTCCTTCTCCGAACACCTGCCTCCCCCGGCCCCTCGGTGCCCTGTGACGGAGGGTGCAGCTGTCCAGCGGCCAGTGCCATCATCTAGCCCAGTGGTCTTTCTGACACATTCTTTTGACACCAAGGGCAGCGCTTGATGAGTGCCAGGCACTGAGCCAAGAGCTTTTAGCTGGATGATCTCCTGTAATCCTCGCGCGATCCCTTTCGGTAGGTGTTGTTCCCATCGGTGGGAAAGCCGAGTGCACTGTTGCCCAAGACCTCGGAGGAGCGAGAAGAGACGAGAGGCCAACAGTCACTTTTCAGAGCCCTCCTCACGAGGACTTATGCTGAAAACTCAAAAGTGACTAGGCTGAGGGTTCAGAAGCAGCAGAGCATCAAACCATAGTTTGCTGTGTCCCGAGGTCGCTTGAATTATGTTTCTTTTTGCAGCGTTTTAACTCAAATGGGTGATGAAAAGGACTCTTGGAAAGTGAAAACTTTAGATGAAATTCTCCAGGAAAAGAAACGAAGGAAGGAACAAGAGGAGAAAGCAGAGATAAAACGCTTAAAAAATGTAAGCTATGTTTTTTAAGTAAGTGATTTTCTTAAAGGAGATTTAATTTCTTTGCCCTCATTTTTCCATTAGAACAACGCTTCTTCGGTGAAGTTCTTTTGTACTTCCAAATGTCACAGGTGAGCCCAAATCTATTCTAAAAATTAACAAAAACATTCACATGCTCAGTTTACATTGAAGGCAGATTGATAACACTGAAGCTGTGTCTAGATAAGAATGTCTACGTGGAGAATAAAATGTTCTGAACCTAGAATCATTAGTGTGAACAGACTAACTTTTCTCATTTCATTATTAGCGTATTCATAGTACCATTTCCAAGTATTTTTAATATAGTGGGAACTTGCCTTAAAATTAATATGAATGTTTCGTATTTTTCTTGATTTGCATAACATATCAAAAGATTTTTAGTAATTGGATAAGAGGCATTGGCATTAGGAACCTCTTCTGATAAGATCAGGAACAGATTATTTCAAAGTATGTATATAAGTATTATATGAAGTATCAGAAGTATTTGGTGTACAAAATGTGGCTTAAGCCTCAGCAACTAACAGAGTCTAGTATCTTTTGTCATGTATGCTGGTTTTAAATTTTCTATCCCAGGTTTTGGGTTACAGAGAGTTGTAATTTTAATGCCATGGGATTTGAATTACTTTTTATATTGTGTAATATTTATCCTTTCAAAGTATGCGTGAAAGCTTCCTTTGGTATGTTGACAAAGTTTGGTTATCATTAAAAATACATTTATAAGAAAGTGACTAATTTTCTCTTTGTTTCTTAGTCTGATGACCGGGATTCCAAAAGGGATTCCCTTGAGGAGGGGGAGCTGAGAGATCACCGCATGGAGATTACAATCAGGAACTCACCATACCGACGTGAGGATTCTATGGAAGACAGGTGAGAATGCAAAGTCATTAGGAGCAAGAGTGAGCAGACTGGGGAGCACTCTACATGAACGAGGTCTTGACTGTCCTCACTGTTACTTGAAAAGCGTTGTGACTTCAGATACACCTCACAGTTGAGGCTAGATGGAGTCCATTATCCCTATTTTCTCTCTTACACAAAGACTGAATGAGCATGTATTCCTTTCTCAGTGATAATTCTTCAGTTAGGCCAGCACCACTTAGATCATACAATTAGATATTTGCATGTTGTTGAAAGTTTAAGATTCTATATGTATCTAAAGTAGAATGCTGAGAGGGCCACAGTCAGAAATGTTTAGCCCATTAAGTGAGTGTTTTCTTTTTTTGTTTTTGTTTTTGTGGGTTTGTGTGGATCTTTTTTTTAAAGAATTTTTGAGGGCTGGGATTGTGGCTCAGTGGTAGAGCCCTCGCCTGGCACGGGTGGGACCCGGTTTCGATCCTCAGCACCACATAAAAATAAAGGCATTTTGTTGTGTCCATCTACACCTAAAAAAAAATAAATAAATATACATATTTTTAAAAAAAAGAATTGTTGAGATCTTTAAGGTTGATAACATTTAAGCCCTTTTTAACAGCCTTACTGAGCTATAAATGACAAAATGAACTACAAAGATTTAAGTGTGTAATTTGATACTTTTGGGGGGGGGGTGCAGATAACCAGAGATTGAACTCAGGGACACTCCACCATTGAGCCACATCCCCAATCCTATTTTGTATTTTATTTATACACAGGAGTCTCACTGAGTTGCTTAGCACCTTGCTTTATTCTGAGGCTGGCTTTGAACTTGCAATTCTCCTGCCGTAGCCTCCAGAGCCACTGGGATTACAGATGTGTGCCACCGTGCCCAGCTTGATCATGTGTGTGTGTCTGTGTGTGTGTATGTTGCTAGGGATTGAACCCAGGGCCTTGTGCATGCAAGGCAAGCATTCCACCAACTGAGCTATATACCCAGCCCTTGATACATTTTTTTATTTTATTTTATTTATTTATTTATTTATTTTTTAATATTTATTTTTTAGTTTTCAGCGGACACAACATCTTTGATTGTATGTGGTGCTGAGGATTGAACCCGGGCCGCATGCATGCCAGGCGAGCGCACTACCGCTTGAGCCACATCCCCAGCCCCTTGATACATTTTTTTTATTTTTATTTTTTTTATTTTATTTTATTTTTAGAGAGAGAGAGAGAATTTTTTAATATTTATTTTTTAGTTCTCGGCGGACACAACATCTTTGTTTGTATGTGGTGCTCAGGATCGAACCCGGGCCGCACGCATGCCAGGAGAGCGCGCTACCGCTTGAGCCACATCCCCAGCCCGATACATTTTTTTAAATAACTTCACTTATATGGTGCTGAAGATCAAACCCAGTGCCTCACACATGCTTGGCAAGTGCTCTACCACTGAACCACAACCCAAGCCCCTACTGTATCTTTTTAAATGATTGATCAAATGCAGCTTTATTCTGTTGTGAATCTTGAATTTTTTTCTAAGTTGGAGAAACTGTAGTATCCTGGTTCTCTCTAGGCTTTGCAGCATGATGTGGTGTCTTGTATCTTATTTCAGAGGAGAGGAAGATGATTCTCTGGCTATCAAACCACCCCAGCAGATGTCTCGGAAAGAAAAGGCTCATCACAGGAAAGACGAAAAGAGAAAAGAGAAACGCAGGCATCGCAGCCATTCAGCAGAAGGGGGTACCAGTAGTCTTTGTGTTTTTCTCCTTTTTTCATGATCTGCCTTCTCCACACTATAGCAAAGGGAGTAGAAGTTTAATAAAAAAGTAAACTCCTTTAGAATAACCATTTCATTTTCCTTCTGGTGTTTTTTCTCTCTCATTACATTATTTTTAAATTTATTTATATGGAAAATAGTCAATCCAATAATTGGAGAAAAATACACACATAAAAAAGAATGGTTGTGGGGCTGGGCTGGGGCCCAGTGGTAGAGCGCTTGCCTAGCATGTGTGAGGCCCTGGGTTCTATTCTGAGCACCACACACAAACAAAAAAATAAATAAAGGTCCATTAATAACTTAAAAAAAAAAAAAAAGAATGGGTGTTTGGTCAAATCCAAGTAACAGATTTGGCTTGTTTAGAGGTTTAATCTCATGCCAGTATCAAGGGGTACTAAGGGGCACTAGGAACAGAGGGCCTTTTTAAAATTTCATTATTATAAATGCAGTTGGTTAATTAATTTAGTTTTATAATATAGAAGTCTGTCAAATAAAGGAACAAAACTTTGTAGTTTATGTATTGCTTTTATTTATTTATTTATTTTGGCATGGGGATTGAACCCAGGGGTGCTGAGTTATATCCCTGACCCTTTTTATTTATTTTGGGGGAGACGAGTCTCACTAAGCTGCCCCAGCTGGCCTCAAACTTGCAATCCCCTGCCTCATCCTCCACAGCTGCTGAGATTATAGGTGTGCACTACTACATTTGGCTCATCAAAGTTATGTTTTGGTAAACTAAGCTGTTTTTTCATGACACCTATCATTTCCTCTCAGGGAAGCATGCTAGAGTGAAAGAAAAGGAAAGAGAACACGAGCGTCGGAAACGCCATCGAGAAGAACAGGATAAAGCTCGCCGGGAATGGGAGAGACAGAAGCGGAGGGAGCTGGCACGCGAGCATTCCAGGAGAGAGAGGTGAGGCCTGCTCCATTCAGGAGCCTTCATCCAGGGCCATGATGGTCAGGGTCCTGCAGGGGCAGCGGAGCATTCCATACCTGAGCATGATTAGCGTAGAGCAGTATATGGACAGTGGGTGCAGCATGGCAGATGTTGGGTGGTGGTCACCTGGAGGAATGTCCTGCAGGAAGTGAGGCAGGTGTGTCTGAATTGACAGAGAAGCTGACCAAGGCCCCAGAACTCTGAGTAGCCTTCCACTCAAGGCTGGCATGGAAGTCATCATTAGCCAGTCATAGTTGTAACTCCCTGAGAGACTTGGTTTGGAGTGATGGTGGCAGGAGAAGGAAAACTGCAGGGCAATGCTGGAGGTCACAGGTGGGAATTCAGGCACACGGAGGTAAGGGTTAGGCCATGTGTGAGTCCCTGGAGGTGAAAAGGGTTGTGCAGCAAGGAGTTGCTCCTGGAGAATGCCCCTTTCACATCATGACATGAGTCACTTTCCCACAGGGAGGAATATGAAGTCTGCGTGTTTTTAGGGGTAGGTAAAGGTACCTTGATTCAGGTTGTGGTAAAGAGTGGGATAAAGCGGGGCTGGGGTTGTGGCTCATTGGAAGCATGCTTGCCTAGCTTGTTGAAGACACTGGGTTTGATACTCATCACCACATAAAAAAAATAAATAAACAAAATAAAGATACCTACAACTAAAAAAAAAAGGGTAAAGAGAAAGTCAGGGGCTGGGGTTGTGGCTCAGCACTAGATCACTCACCTAGCATGTGCAAAGCCCTGGGTTCGATCCTCAGCAGCACAAGAAAATAAATAAATAAATAAAGGTGGTGTGTCCAACCACAACTTAAGTCAGCTGAGCCCATGTCTATGAACCCTCCCAGGACAGTGCTCCAGAGAAGTCTCATGGTGGCATGGTTTATTTATTCAACAGGTGTTTCCTAAGCACCTGCTCAGTACCAGACTGTTCTGGGTGGTCTGACCTCAGAAAATAGATCACTTAGGGTCCTTTGGGTCACATTAAAAGTAGACTACAAGCTAGATGTAATCCCAACAGCTTGGGAGGCTAAGACAGGAGAATTGTGAGTTCAAAGCCAGCCTCAGCAATGGCAAGGCATTAAGCAACTCAGTGAAATCCTGTCTCTAAATAAAATACAAAACAGGGCTGGATATGTGGCTTAGTGGTCAAGTGCCCCTGAGTTCAATCCCTGGTCCCCCGCTCCCCCCCCCCCCGCCCCCGCCAAAAAAATAGACTATAATTCTTTCAGACAAATGGGGACAGGATAATAAAAGCAGATACCAGGGCCTCTGGATAGTCCGGGAGCTGGGATGTCACATTACTCTTAGTTGCCACCGGGACAGCTTGGACTCCCAGGAACAGGTGGCTTCAGCCTGGGTCTCTTCTCTTTGGCCCAGTCAAGGTTGAGTGCTGGGTCCACTTCCTGTGCATTGAATTCATGTCCAGGAAAAGCTTCAGAGCTGGCCTGCTGCATGGGAGGGTGGTGTCTGAATTGGAAGGCAGAGGTATTGCCCATTCTCAGCAGGCAGCACTGAACAGTGAGTAAAGAAAGTGTATGAGAAAAGTGTTAGTTGCTCTTAGTGCAGAGCAAGGTGGGAGACATGTGGCCCAGCAACAGCAGTCTGAGCCCAGTGGGGGTATGCAAGTCTCCAGCAGTGTGTAGGTGTCCGTGCTCATCCCACCGAGTACTGAGTATCAAGTGTGGCTTGTCCAGTGAGGCAGGATTAGAATGGGAGTCGAGTTTGGGGGATAGGGCTTTGAGCTTTTGTTTAGATTTACTGGAAGGCAAAGCAGGAAAGAGAACAGAGGGCATGTGTTGGCAGATTTCTGGTGTGGAATGAACGTGATCTGCCAGTCTTCTCCCAAAACACACCTTAAGGTGGACAAAATTCATTAAAACCCGCATTTGTGCTTTGGAAATTAACCAGAAGATAATCTGAAAAGTACACATACTTGGAAAGCTAATAAAAGTGGTTGAAAACAATAGAAATTGGCCCTCTAACCCAGAAGCTTCTCCCTCTGATGTCACCTCCCTGACCTTGATCAGTAGAGGTTCTGCTGGGCAGTACATCACAGGCCACAGTGTGTGGGAGGGATCATTCCATGCACAATGCTGGATGGCACCCTCCCTACCTGTTTAGATTTACTAGAAGTAGGTGAAACTCAGCACCATCTGCTGGTGTGAGGTAGTTCTGGGGATGTGCAACATGCACTTCATGATGCTTGAGCTACCATGCACTGGCTAGTCCTGGAGAAGCACCACAGGAAGGCTCAAGAAGCAAATGCACCTGGACCCCTCAGTGAGGAGGCCTTGCCGGCATGAGGTGTTGGTATCCAGTGCTTGCCAGCATCAGATTCCTGAGACTTGGATCAGAGAGATACTACAGAAATTATAGCAGAACTCAAGAGTTGATATACTTCATTATCTAAAATGTCCAATTTTAAACAAAATAAATTTGAGATCTACAGAGAAGTAAGAAAGTCTGGCCCAGGTCAAGAAAGAGAAGAGCCAGTGCTGAGTATTCCAGCTGTTAGATTTGGCAACAGTGTGGAAATAGGAGCTGAGTGAGCAGTAGGAGTCATCTACTCCTGAAGCTGGGGTTGTGGCTCAGTGGTAGAGCACTTGCCTGGCATATGTGAGGTACTGGGCTCCATTCTCAGCACCGCATATCAATAAATAAAGGCCCATTAAAAAAGAAGAAGAAGAAGTCATCTACTCTGAAGAACAAGGAGGGGCCAGCTGCAGTGGCACACACTTGTAATCCCAACTCAGAGACTAAGGCAGGAAGATCACAAGTACCCAGCCAGCCTCACCAACTTAGCTAGACTCTGTCTCTAGATAAAAAGGGCTAGATAAGCTACTTTTTATCTCTAGATAAAAAGTAGCTTAGTGGTAACGCACCCCTGGGTTCAATCCACATACATACCAGAAGAAAAAAAAAATGTAAGGAAAAGAAAAATTGTCAAGAGCTTCTGTGTAAGTGGGACAACATCCATTGTGCCCTCACAGTGCATTGGGATTTTCAGAAGAGAAGAAAGGCAGAAAGATGTTTTTCTAAATAGTGGTTGAAAACATCCCAAATTTGATAACAAAAACCATTGATCTGGAGCTGGGGTTGTGGCTCAGTGGTAGAGAGCTTGCCTGGCATGTGTGAGGTACTGGGTTTGTTTCTCAGTATCACATATAAATATATGAACAAACTAAAGGCCTATTTTTTTAAAAAAGTAAAGGAGTCTCTTTACAAAAAAAAAAAAATATATATATATATATATATATATATATTTATTTATTTATTTATTTATTTATTTATTTATCTGGGGCTGGGGCTCAGCAGTAGTGCACTTGCCTAGCATTTGTGAGGCACTGGGTTCAATTCTCAGCACTGCATATAAAAATAAAAGTCTATCAACAACTAAAAAAAAAAATTAAAAAAACCTCGTCTGAGTAGCTCAGTGAGCTCAGGTAGGGTAAACAGAGTCGCTCAAAGCCAGCTGGTAAGAGCCAGAGGGGACATGAAAGGTGGCAGGAGGAGCAAGTCATGGTGGCACACACCTGTAATCCCAGCAACTTGGGAGGCTAAGGCAGGAGGATTGTGAGTTCAAAGCCAGCCTCAGCAACAGCAAGGCACTAAGCAACTCAGTGAGACCCAGTCTTTAAATAAAATACAAAAAAGGGCTGGGGGTGTGTGGCTCAGTGGTAGTGGTTAAGTGTCCCTGAGTTCAATCCCTGGTACGCCCCCCTCCAAAGGAAAAAAAAATGTGGCATGAGGGTGGGAAGCTTGAGAACCAGCCGAGGTGGAGAATAAAGAATATCATCTTCCAAGACTGCCAAGGAAAACCAGATATTGTACCTGAAACGGCTTCTTTGCATTTTAAAGTGAAGAATAATAAAGACATCTCAAAACAAATCTAAAGGCTGATGGAATCTATTGTTAGCAAGCCTGCCTTGGAAGAAATGCAAAAGGAGACCTTCCTACTGATTGAAGTGACATCAGGTGGTAGCTCGAGTCCACAGGAATGAGAGGGAAGTGCTGGAGCCGGCGATGTAAAGGTGAACAGGAGTGTAAGCCAGGTGCGGTGGTGCACACCTCTAATCCCAGCAACTAGGGAGGCTGAGGCAGGGCGGGGATTACAAGTTCGAGGCCAGCCTCAACAATTTACCTGGGCCTTGAGCAATTTAGCAAGACCCTGTCTCAAAATAAAACATGAAAAAGGCTGAGGATGTGGCTCAGTGGTTAAATGCCCCTGGGTTCAATCCCCAGTACAAACAAACAAAAAGTAGTGCCTTTCTTAAAACTAACTGGTGTTAGCTATAAGAAAACACCAGTTAAGCCAAAGAATCCAAGTGTTTTGAAAAAGAAGAATCTTATAGGGTCAGATTTTCCTCTATGATATTACTGGAAATGATGTTGCTTTGGTTTTACTAGAGGAACACACAAATGATAATGATGGTTGTACTAGAGGTTTTTTTAACCTGGGTTAAAATTCCAATTTGAAATTCACTTATTTTAAATTCAGCTCAGATCATTGAAACTGCACGTATGTGCCTATCTACACTCTCTTTAAAAAGATATTTCATACGTAGATGATAAAGACCAAACCAATGGCTGCACTGTGGGACTGCTTTTTTTTTTTTTTTTTTTTCTCCTGGTGCTGGGGATTGAACCCAGGGCCTTGTGCATGCCAGGCAAGCACTCTACCAACTGAGCTCTATCCCCAGCCTCGACTGCTGCGTATTTGTTCTTGTTTTGCTTCTATTCATGTTGTAGAAAATGAAATTAGCATGACGCTCCAATTCTGCTATCCTTTGATACTTATAAAAATGTATTAAGTTTTACTACATTGTGCTTTTCAAAGCCATAATTCTTAAATTTGTTTTTGCATATTGTTTGCTAATACTTTATTTTAATAAACCTCAAAATCTGCTTAAAAAAAAAAAAAAACTAAATCCAGCTCTTCTCAGTGCTGATTCTCCAAGATGAAAGATCTGTGAAGCAGTAGTTCTGGAGCACTGTGCTGTACCTAACGCTGTGCGTGATATCACACAGAGCAGGCAGGAAGGGAGAGAGCTGTGTCATAACAGTCGCTATATTTCAGTGGGAATTAGCATTAATCTGATGTGAAGTGTATTGCAGTCCCTAAAGCAACCACTATGAAATTAATGAGGCCTATGCCTGGAATTCCAGTTACTGCAGAGGCTGAGACAGGAGGATTACAAGTTTGAGACCACTCCTGGCAATTTAGTGAGAACCTGTCTCAAAAGTTTTAGGAAAGATCTAGAGATACAGTTTAGTGCTTGTCTAGCATGTCCAAGACCCTTGGTGTAATCCCCATTACAGCAAAAATAAACATCAGACTTTACAATTCTGAAACTGACAAGCTTCCTCCAGCCAAGACTTATTACATAGATGGCTATGGGTGCAGGGCTGTGACCTGACCCACCAGTCTATTCAGATCTCACCAACTTCCACATGACCATTTGTCTGTGTGTTTGATGATACTTAAAAACATGGATTAGCTATTTGGGTTGCACTTGAACTCTGGGAACACAAAAATTAACTTCAGAGCAATTCTAGACATCTGGTCGTTTGATGTTGCAGGAACACATTCTCTAGTCACTGATACTACCTGCATGTCAGGTGAGACGCTTGCTGTCGTAATAGAGCTGCAGGAAGACACTAGCACCAGGGTTTTTGATTTCTGACAAGTATCTGTCTTGTTTTGCAAGTACTTCGTTTTGTCCTGGTGTGTGCCCTCAGAAGTGGCACTCGGGAACGTGTGCACTTACGTCTTAACTCTTTGGCCCTCTGCGCAGTGACAGTGCGCAGAGCCGGGTTCTCGGTTCAGCTGGACTGAAGGCCTGGCGCCTCCTTCCGCAGGGACCGCCTGGAGCAGCTGGAGAGGAAGAGGGAGCGGGAGCGCAAGCTGAGGGAGCAGCAGAAGGAGCAGCGCGAGCAGAAGGAGCGGGAGCGCAGGGCCGAGGAGCGGCGCAAGGAGCGGGAGGCCCGGAGGGAAGGTGGGTGGAGGGAGGGAGGGAGGGAGGGAAGGTGGGCGGAGGGAGGGAGGGCGGAGGGAAGGTAAGCGGAGGGACTGCCCCTGCTCCGCAGGCCTCCCGGGCTGCTCCCCGGAGGGTGACCAGCAGTGCCACGGGTTAGGGGGACTCTGCAGACTGACCCTGCCCTGGGCTGTGCCCCAGGGGTTGGCCTGGGCCGGCTGAGAGGCAGGACAGGCTGAAGGGAAAGCAGGCCCAGGGGCCCTGCGGTGGAGGCTCTAGGGCCGAGGCGCTGCTGTCCAGTGCCCACTGCCGGCTGTGCTTAGGCTCTTGCTCCTGTGCTGTCTTTGCCCTATTTTTCTAGTTTTACACGTCAAAACCCATGCTTGCCATCGTGACCGTTTTTAAGGATGTTTACGTGGCTTCCCCTCCACCCGTGTCCAGAACCGTTTCCTCTGGGGAGACTGAGGGATGCCGTTGCACACCAGGTTCCGCTGTTCTGCTCTGCGGGGCGCCCAGGGCTTTGTGGCCCGGCTGACTGTGGCTCACAGCCGCGTCGTCCACGCCCGGTTCCCTTGTGCCAGAATTTACTCCCTTGAAGATCAGCTGGTGGCAGGAACTAGCGTGTGTCCTTTTCCTATTTGCTTTCTCTGGGCTTTGTTGCCTTTTTGTCCCTTATGTCCTGCACTACTGTGGTCTTTGGTGTTTTGTTGAACTTGTAGTGAAATGTCTAAGTCCCTCTCTCATTCCCTTTCCTGTATACTCATATCTGTTTTTATTGTTACACCAAGGGGATTATATTTAGCATCCTAAAGTGCTACACCAATTTGCATTGATGCCATCTTCAATTCAGAAATATGCAAAACCCTTGTTCTCTTAAATCTTCATCCCCACCTGTTTTAGTTGTTGTCACAAAATTGCATTTTTGTATATTGGCTGTCCGTAAATATAAACTAGTAACTTTTATCCAGGCATTATAGCTTATGAATGTAAGCTCAGTAGCTTTGGAAGATGAATGAAGCAGGAGGATTGAAAGATCAAGGCCAGCCTCAGCAGTTTAGGGAGACCTTGTTTCAAAATAATAATTTTAAAAGGGCTGGGAGCTGGGTGTGGTGGCACATTCCTGTAATTCCAGTGGCTCAGGAGGCTGAGGCAGGAGGATCGTGAGTTTAAAGCCAGCCTCAGCAAAAGCCAGGCACTAAGCAACTCAGTGAGACCCTGTCTCTGAATAAAGTACAAAATAGGGCTGGGGGACGCTGCTCAGTGGTCCAGTGTCCCTCAGTTCAATCCCTTGTCGCCACCCCCACCCCCGCCAGAACAAAGAGGACTGGAGAATGTAGCTCCTTGGTAAAGTACCAAAATAAATAAAATAGCCTACTAAATCATGTAGCAAGCAAAAAACTGGAGTTGGAATTGTTATAGTAACACCAGTGCTTCTCATCCCTGTATTTAGCTTTACTTATATTTTCATTCTTGCTCTTGGCTTTGAGTTTACTTCTGATGGTCCTCTCTTCTCCTTGTGGGACATCCTTGAGTTTTTTTTTTTTTTTAGATGGACACAATGGCTTTATTTTATGGTTTATTTTTATGTGGCTCTCAGGATCTACCCAGTGTCTCATGCCTGCTAGGCAAGTGCTCTGCCGCTGAGCTACAGCCTCAGCCCCATCACTGCGTTTTTCCTGCAGGACCGTCAAGTGATGTGGACCTCTGTGGCTCTTGCGTGTCCAGTTCATCTCTCCCTCTCTTCCTAGGAATTATTTTGAACACAACTAGTATAGCACTTTTGGCGGTAGTTTTTTTTTCTTGCACCACTTAGAATTCATCAGCCTGACACCTTGTGGCTCAGTTGCTGGTGGCATACATCTAAGGACCTCCTGTGTGTGACCACTCACTTCTCTTTCTGCGTTCATGATTCTGCTTTGTCTTATGTGGTTTTTCTTGTTTTTGTTTGTTTTCTTGCTTCTTTTTTGGCAGCGCTAGGAATGGAACTCAGTGTGTTGTACATGCCAGGCAAGTCCTCTACTCCCAAGCTGGACCCCCTTGCGAGGGTTTCTTTTCTCTTTTTCTTTCCTTTTTTTGAGATAGTGTCTTGCTAAGTTGCTGAGGCTGGCCTCAGACTTGGGACCCTCCCATCTCAGCCTCCCAAGTCACTGGGATTACGGGGGTGGCCACCACACGATGCCCGTGGGCCTCCGAGTTCGTCCTTCTGGGAGCTTGTTGTGCTTCCTGAATGTTAACGTGTGTGTCTTTGGAAACACGTGGGGCGTTCTCAGCGATGCCTCTTCAGGTCCTCGCTCTGCTCCTTTCTCTCCACTCCCTGGCTCCTGGGCTGTAGGCTGGTCCTTCTGCCATGCAGCTGTTGTTCTTTCTGTCCCTGAGACTGGCTCTCCCCTGCCCTGACCTCAGCTTCACTGATTTCTTTCTTGCCTGCTCAGCTCTGCTTTGAACCCCTCTCGTGGTTGTTCCTTTATTGACATGTCGACCTCTAGAGCAGTTGAGTTTTCTTAGGGTTCCTCCCTCCTTTTTATTTTTTACTTTATTGTTTTTTTTAAGATTGACTTTTTTTTTGGTAGTTGTAGGTGGACAGAATGCTTTGTTTTCTCTGCTTATTTTCATTTTCATGTGGTACTGATTGAACCCAGAGCCTCACGCATGCTAGGCAAGTGCTGTACCACTGAGCCCCAGCCCAGCCCAGGGTTCCTCTCTCTTGACTCGCGTTGCCATATTGGTGCATTGTTTTATTGTAGTTCTTTTTTTTTTTTTTTCAGTTGTTGATGGACCATTGTTTTATTTATTCATTTATATGGTGCTGAGAATTGAACCCAGGGCCTCACCCGCGCTAGGCCAGTGCTCCACCCCTGAGCCCCAGCCTAGCCCTTACTGTAGTTCTTTTAGACAGTTGTCCCAGAGTCTTACTTTTGCTTCTTTGTACAAAGGTGATTTTGTGTGTTGGGGGGGTGCTGGGGATTGAACGCAGGGTCTTGTGCATGTAAGACAAGCACTCTACCAACTGAGCCATATCCCCAGCCCCAAAGGCAATTTTTAACAACGATTTGAAGAGCCCTGTTCTCAGGTGGTGCTGTTGGAAGGGTCGCAGCAACAACCTACTCATGCTGTGTTCACACCCAGATGGGCAAGGCCTCCAAGGGCTGATTGAGCCCCAGGACCAGTGGTTGTTGTCCTGTTCCTCCTGGGCCTGGTGCACAGGGAGCTCTGTCCCGCCCCGTCACCTTTGGGCCACACCTGGGCAGCCAGCAGGGCCACGCATGGTGAAAGCTTGCCCCTCCCCAGTCCCAGGGTAGGTGGTTTCCTTGCCGGGGGCTAAGGCATGTGGGCTGGGGTGTCATGGAAGGGCTTGGATGCAGATGCCAGTGTGTTCTCTGCTGAGGGCTCAGGTCTACTCTTGCCACCTCCTTTTACCTTGAGACTTCTCTTACTTACTTCCTAATGCTGGGGTTGAAACGGGGCCTCACGTGTGCCAGGCAGCACTCTGCCCGTGGGTGGCACCCAGCCTCCTCCAGGCGCTGCCGCACGTTGTCCTCAGGCAGTGTGCCTTCAGGTCTCCAGGATGGCTTCCCTCAGTTTATTTTTTTTCCCTGTTTCTTGGAATGTCTTATGATTTTGTGGTTGTTGTTGGAAACTGGACATTTGTTATAGTTCTGGAAATGAGACCCTCCCAGGACTGCCACGTTGCTGTGGAGCTTGTTAGTACTCTCAGTGCTGAGGACCAGCCTGGCACACCTTCCAGCATCCTGTCTGAGCCTGTGCCTGTCTCTGGGCCTACAGGGGCACTCCAGTTTTCCTCCTATATGCAGTTGCTTTAATGTCCTTGTCCTTAAATGTCTGGCTTCCAAAAAGGGATTTAAAAAAAAAAAAGTGGGGATTAGGGCTCCCGGTGGTGAACCCTCTGGAGGTCACCCTAGCCAGGGGAGGATGCAGCATCAACAGCTGCAGCCTTGTTCCTGTGGTGAGATGCAGCAGCAGGGTGCAGTCTCTGGTGTTGGAAGGCAGGATTCTCTCACCCATCCTCCTCCTGCAACTGCTCTGGAAACTCATGCGCAACTCCTTGCCCTAGAGACCAGAGCCAGAAGCTGCTGCTTTGCTAAGAGCTGAAATTGACCAGAATTAACCATGGTTTGCTGTCAAAGCCTCCCCTGAAATTTGCATACCTACTCTATAGAGTTTCACATTAATTGCATAAGACGGATTCTGTCCTATGTCTTCCTGTGTGGCCCCTGGGTTATCAGGATTATCCTGTGGCCTTCAGGTTAGAGCTTGTTCTCCCGGGTTTATTGGCTTTTGGCTCCAATGCTGTTGGGTGTGTCTGTCCAGGTGTGTGGAGTGGGACCTGGGGGGCTGTGTGTTGTCAGCCAGGCTGCTGCCAGCACCCATTCTCCCTCTGTCCTATGGGCCCCAGTCTCTGCACACCATCGCACAGTGCGGGAAGACCACAGTGACAAGGGGAAGGCCAGCCACTGGAGCCGCAGCCCGTCACGGCCACCAAGGGAACGCTTCGAGCTTGGAGACGGCAGGAAGCCAGGTGAGCCCGGGCTCATACTTGCTTGGAGCCAGCACAGGGTGTCTTTTTTTTTTTGGGGGGGGGGGCGGGTTGAACATAAAAATTTGCTTAACAATTTATAAAATTAAGGAACACCCAGCTGCATGATTTCCTGTCACAGTGCCCTGTGTCTCAAGGGGACTGGATCAGTGACCCATTTCTCAACTGAGACAGTCATTTGTTGCCAGTCCTTTTGGGAATTGTCTCCCAGTTAAAAACACGTGGGTGAACTTTTACACGTAGAGGGAAGGTGTGAGAGATAACGTCTGAATTTTGGGTGGTACTATGTTGCTAACCTAAAAACATTTCCCTAAATTCATCTTTGCTGGTTTATTTCACAAGTGAAAGAAGAGAAAATGGAAGAAAGAGACCTGCTGTCTGACCTCCAGGACATCAGTGACAGCGAGAGGAAAACGAGCTCAGCTGAGTCCTCCTCAGGTACTGAGCCTCCTGGCCAAGGCCCTGCAGCTGCTGCCCAGGGAAGGCCAAGTGTCACCTTGTGGCTATTTTCTCCTGCAGCAGAATCAGGTTCGGGCTCAGAGGAGGAGGAAGAGGAGGAAGAAGAGGAAGAGGAGGAGGAAGGGAGCACCAGTGAGGAGTCAGAGGAGGAGGAGGAGGAAGAGGAGGAGGAGGAGGAGGAGGAGACTGGGAGCAATTCTGAGGAGGCCTCCGAGCAGTCTGCAGGTGAGGAACTGGTGGGTCTCTATGGTCTTTGTTGACGGAACAGCATTGTGTGTTCACGGGAGGGTTTGGGAACTGCAGGAGCGTCCTTCGAAGTCTGACTTAGCATTTCCAGGGTGGAGCTGCCTTCCTCTGTGGGACTTGAGTGAGAGCCCAGAAGAGCCCGGAGCTCACACTGAGCTCGGAGCTGTCAGGGCCGGGCTTCTGGGGGTTCCCAGGCCCGCACTCAACCAGCGCTCTTTTCTCCTACAGAGGAAGTGAGCGATGAAGAGATGAGTGAAGAGGAAGAGCGAGGAGACGAGAACCACGTCCTGGTTGGTGAGCAGCTCCCTTAGCAGCTGGCCCTGTCCTCACTTGTCCCTGCAGGGAGGACACCAGGATACAGCAGTGGCCCTCTGAGTCTGTGCTGATGTAACTTAGCCAAGAGCATCTTTAATTGCGGAGCATCCTCTAAGGGCCCGCTGTGACTTGGACGCTGGATGGAGGAGGCTGGGGAGTGCCACTCTAGGTCTAATCCTAAGAGGGAAGGAAGCTGCACTGGACAGCAGGTCCTGGGTCATCAGGGGTGGACACTCTCTTGAGAGTGGAGGGCTGGTGTGGCCTCCAACAGGCAGCAGCGCTCTCGTGAGGTTCTGGGGCATGAATTCTGGGCATGCCCACCCTGCGTAGCACCTGCTCATGTCCTCAGAACATCCGGCTCAGCCAAGTGTACTGGGACTGCAGACCTGTGGGCCTTTGTCCAGGGAACAGGCCCTGCAGCAGCACCTGGTGTGGAGGATATAGGATGTGTGGCCTCTCCAGCCCTCAGGTCCCCCCAGATTAGGAGGAGTGTTGGTGCTCTTTACTTGTTCCATAATTAGGTTTAACTTTTAAAGTTCCAGAGTCACGATTTGACCGAGATTCCGGGGACAGTGAAGAAGGGGAGGAAGAAGTGGGTGAGGGGACCCCACAGAGCAGCGCCCCAACCGAAGGGGACTACGTGCCTGACTCCCCAGCCCTATCGCCTATTGAGCTCAAGCAGGAGTTGCCCAAGTACCTGCCAGCCCTACAGGTCAGGCCCCCTGCCCCCTCGCCTGAGCTGGATCCCTGCTATGGTGGCCAGAGATACAGGTGTCTGAGCACAAGTGTCCTATGAAGCAAGGTCACTGGGCCACACATGGTGACCCACCTCCTGTGACTCCTGGTCATGGTCCTTCTTAGTGGCTGGCAGTACTGAGCAGGTGTCCTGGGTGCCAGGAGATGCTTGCTTTCATTTTTGCCTTTGCTTTGACCCTGGATAGGTGGGTTGGGAGGGGCACCAAGGCCTCCTCAACACCCGCCCATGCTGAGAGTGTGTCAGCACAGGTACGCAAGGTGGTGACTTCTCTTCAGGGAAACAGCAGCTAGTGAGGCTGCCTTGGGGAAGAGGAGAGGGCTTGGTGGCCCCCAGGGCCCTGGAGCACCACCACAGGCCCCTGACATTAGTGCCATCGTAGGAAAGATACTGTCTGACGGATCCAGCAGGCCCGTTGCTGGCCCCCTGGTCCTTTCTCCAGTGAGAGCCTGCCATGTGCTGCAGAGCGTGGCCCCCACCCCTTGGAGGAGGGCAGCCGCACATGGCAGGCGGGCTGTGCTCTCCCCGGGTGTCATCTGCGGGAGGGGTGCTTTACGTAGGAGACGCCCGGTGGCCCTGGCTGGTGCTGCCCTTGTTTCACATTCACATACTAGGTAGTTCCAAAGACACGAGAACGGAGTACTTCTGGTCCTGGGTCACTTACACATAGGCACGCATCTACATGCACCAGCCTCCTGAGGATGTTTGTGGGGTCTTCTGTGTACCTGCCCTGTGCACGGAGTGATGTGGTTGTGGGTGAGACCTCAGGCCAGTGTGGCTGCTCAGCCCTCGCTCTGTGCTTCCCTCCAGGGCTGCCGGAGTGTGGAAGAGTTCCAGTGTCTCAACAGGATTGAAGAAGGTACCTATGGTGTGGTCTACAGAGCCAAGGACAAGAAAACAGGTGGGGAGAGTCCTAAGTGTCCCCAGTGGGGCCAGCAGGGCCTGGGTAGCCAATCCCTAGCCCATTCTAGCACAGGCAGGGGTCCCTCCTGAGGAGGTCCAGTCAGTGGTGCAGGCTCAGCCTTAGAAGTCCTGGTGACAGACACCACTTTCCATGGAAGGCCCTCTCTGGGAGGGAGGGGTGTTGAGCGGCCTACATCAGCAGAGGCCTAGGCAACTGGTTCTATACCCTCTGACCTCGACCGTGTCCACATAGCTTCAGCCCATGTTTGCTGAATGTGGGTTAATCTCTGCATGGCCCCAGGATCTTTGGATTAGATCTTACCCTCTCCCTGTCCCTGTGCCTTGCAAACACCAGGTCTTATCTTGAGCCCCTTGGTGCCTCTAGAAACCAGAGTCAGCCTGACTTGGCTCACTGCTGGCTGTGACAGCAGGCAGCACACTCTTATTTATTTTGCATTCCTAGATATTTACTTCAGGTCATCTTGCATGCTAGGCAATTGCTGCACCACCAAATTACATCCCTAGTCCTTTTTATTTTATTTATTTATTTATTTTAATATTTCTATTAGTTGTTGATGGACCTTTATTTATTTATATGTGGTGCTGAGAATCAAACCCAGTGCCTCACACATTCTAGGCAAGCGCTCTACCACTGAGCCATAACCTCAGCCCCTTAATTTATTTTTTAAAAATATATATTTAGCTGTAGAGGGACAGGATACCTTTATTTATTTATTTGTTTGTTTGTTTGTTTATTTATTTATTTATATGTGGTGCTGAGGATCAAACCCAGTGCCTCACGTGGGAGACGAGCTCTCTACCCCAGAGCCACAACCCCAGCCCCTCCTTTTTATTTTTTGAGATGGCATCTTGCTAAGTTGCTGAGGCTGGCCTTGAACTTGAACCTAAGATCCTCAGATCCTCCTGCCCCAGCCTTCCAAGCAACTGGGATCACAGCCGGAACAGGAGCACCTACTGTGAAATAACAAATGCTTCTTAAACAAATTAAGTCCTGACTAAACACACCGGAGATGTTTAACCTATTTGTGTGTTTTCTTAGCCTGTCTATCCGTGGCTTGCTTTCTTTTCAGATGAAATTGTGGCTCTGAAGCGGTTGAAGATGGAGAAGGAAAAGGAAGGCTTCCCAATCACATCTCTGAGGGAGATCAATACCATCCTCAAAGCCCAGCACCCCAACATCGTCACTGTTAGGGTGAGCTTGGCCCCCATCCTTGGCACACCCTCTCTGGGCAGGAGGCCTGGGAGAGCCAGTGGCCACAAGGGTGGGCTGGAGGACATGCCAGTACTCACAGACACTCGTCCCCCAGGAGATCGTGGTGGGCAGCAACATGGACAAGATCTATATTGTCATGAACTACGTGGAGCATGACCTCAAGAGCCTCATGGAGACCATGAAGCAGCCGTTCCTGCCAGGTAACACCTGCCAGGTGACACCATGGGCACAGAGGAGGGCACCTGCTTGCTCAGCCCTGAGCTGCAGTTCAGACACGCTGCCCTCTGCCACATCAAAGGGGCTGTCAGAGCAAAGGCAGGAGCAGTGTCCTTATAGTGACCGTGGTGACACTCTGTGGTGTGCAGTGACCAGTAGGCACAAGGGCCACCCTGGGCTGGAAGCATTCTCAGATAACCATCTCCCAGAAGTCTCTGGTTGCTACTGAGGGCATAGATAACCCTTGAGGGCCCTGGGCCTCTGGGGGGCTCATGGCGGGTGGGCCATGAGTGTGACCCTGTCACTTGCCAGGGGAGGTAAAGACCCTGATGATCCAGCTGCTGCGTGGGGTGAAGCATTTGCATGACAACTGGATCCTGCACCGGGACCTCAAGACGTCCAACCTGCTGCTGAGCCACGCCGGCATCCTCAAGGTGGGCCCCGGCAGCCTCTCCCAGGGGTCCTGTCCCCGCCACACCTCACAGCTTGCCCTCTGTTTCTTCAGGTGGGTGACTTTGGGCTGGCTCGGGAGTATGGGTCGCCCCTGAAAGCCTACACCCCGGTCGTGGTGACCCTGTGGTACCGGGCCCCAGAGCTGCTGCTTGGCGCCAAGGTGAGTATCAGGTCTGAGACCCTCCTTTGCCTCAAGGTGGACTCCAGGGACACTGGCCCAGGGGCCTGAACCGTGTCCTCTGGACTCCTAGGAATACTCCACAGCTGTTGACATGTGGTCAGTGGGCTGCATCTTCGGAGAGCTGCTAACACAGAAGCCCCTGTTCCCTGGGAAGTCGGAAATTGATCAGATCAACAAGGTGTTTAAGGTGGGTATGGGGACCACGCCGTGCTGTGGATGTTGGCCCTTCTGGTCAACTGGCACCATGAGGAGCAGCAGCAGGGTGTGTACAGGATGGGTTTGGGCTGCAGTCCCGAGGCCACAGTGTGGCCTCTCAGTGACCTGTCCTCACTGAGAACCATGACTCAGGTATCAGTGCCATAGGCCAGTGGGCAGGATCTTTCCTGGCAGGGCAGGGCAGTTCAGCTCAGGCATCCCTGTCTTCCAGGACCTGGGGACACCTAGTGAGAAGATCTGGCCTGGCTACAATGACCTCCCGGCTGTCAAGAAGATGACCTTCAGTGAACATCCCTACAACAACCTTCGCAAGCGCTTTGGGGCCTTGCTCTCAGACCAGGGCTTCGACCTCATGAACAAGTGAGTCCCAGAGATGACTGGTCTGCAGCTGCAGGAGCACCAGCCCTGAGCTGCTTACACCCTTCCACAGCTGCCCTAGTGACTCACACCCTGATCCTGCACACCCAGGCCTTCAGGGTACACTGGAGGCTCTAGGTGGCAGGTACCCCCTTGGCCTCCCACCCCTGCCTGCCCACAGCACCCACCTGGTCAACACAGGCTGGGCTCTGGGCCCTGAGGCAACCATGCACACCGCACCCCCTCCCACATGGTGCCCAGTGCCCCAAAGCTGTTTCTTCCAGGTTCTTGACCTACTTTCCCGGGAGGAGGATCAATGCCGAAGATGGCCTCAAGCACGAATATTTCCGCGAGACCCCTCTCCCCATTGACCCCTCGATGTTCCCCACATGGCCTGCCAAGAGCGAGCAGCAGAGGGTGAAGCGGGGCACGAGCCCCCGGCCCCCTGAGGGTGGCCTGGGCTACAGCCAGCTGGTGAGGGGCAAAGCCCACAGGGTCCCCAGGGGGGTGGGCTGTCTGGGTCACAGCCCTCACAGTATCCACCTCACTTTGCAGGGGGACGATGACCTGAAGGAGACGGGCTTCCACCTCACCACCACCAACCAGGGGGCTTCGGCTGCAGGCCCTGGCTTCAGCCTCAAGTTCTGAAGCTCAGCAGCCTGGCTGGTGGTGAGGACCCAGACCTCAGCCAGGGCTGACCCCAGGCTGGGCGCGCCTCCTCTCACTTGGCTTCCACGTGGTGATTTTTATATTATTTTGATTTGTACATTTGTAGAATTAAATTGCATTTTCCTTGCTGTGGAAGGAAAGGCTGACTGCTTTCAGCTGTGTTGACGTGCCCAGTGGGGAAGGGCGCATGTCTACAGATGCCAGTGTGAATGGACACCCCTTCCCATGAGCCAGCTTGGACTAGAGCAGCTCGGGGTTCACTGCTTGTCCATCTTGGGGCTGGAGGCCTGTCTGCGTAGACAAGCAAGGCTTTCAGACCAGCCCTGTCCACAGGTTTAGGTCCCGTCCTTAGCCCTGGGCGTGGGGCAGCCTCAGCCACAGCGTGCTTCATGCACATGCCTTCCTGTTGACATCCAGCAGTTAGGCTTGAGGGGCGCTCTGGGGTGGCCTTGCAGCCAGCTGGCCCCAAACTGCGCCCCCTGGGTGCACCCAGGAGGAGGGCTTCTGGCTACCTGGGCTTGGGGATGACTGGATCAAAAGGGACCCCATGTGGGCTGGTCCTTCCTGTTGGGTTGGTGTCCTGCTCCTGATCTAATCAAGGAGTGTTAGCCTTGTGCAGCAGCAGATGCCCACCACTTGCCTTGGGCTTGTACCACCCTCAAAACTGGTCCTCAGCACCCACCCCAGGTGATATTGTGGGCACTTGGGCCTTAGTTTGCCCCGTTGTGTTCCTGAGGCTGTCTTGGCAAGGCTGTTCTCATCTTGAAGGTCATATCCTTATTCTTAGAGTCTGTGCCCCTCAGAATCCCCACATCCCAGTGATAGGCCAGATGAGGGCCACCCACCCAAGAAATGGCACAGACACATCAAACACAGAGCTTTATCTGTCAGGCCTCTGTGGCCCAGGAGACGAGCTTAGCTCCTCACTCGGACACGCCAGGAGTAGGTGGTGAGCACGTGCTGGTGCCGGCGGACCACACACGTGTACGTGCCCTCGTTGACAGCGTTGGCGATAATGCTCAGGCGAGCCTCACCCAGGGCCAGGTAACCAGGGTAGGAGAATTCGAGGGGCTCCTGGTCCTTGTACCAGCTGTGGGAGGAGGGTCCTGCATACCTGCCCTGTGCCCCTGAAGGCAGCCTGAGCCCCCAGGACATCCCCCCTCACCCTGTAGGACCCTGGGCAGCTCCACCCCCTACAACTTGGACCCTAGACAGATTCCCCCCAGGATGGGCCTGGCTAGCAGTGGTCACTTACTACACTTTGCCTTTCTTGTGGAGGATCTTCTGACCACATCGGAAGGTCACATTTCTGCCCTCTGGCACCAGCCTGGTTTTGGTCCTGGGGGGTGATGGGGTGGTGGCCACCGTGGGGAAGGGAAACTCTGCACATGGCAGGGGAAGGTGTCACATCAGTGTGCCCCTCCCCAGGCTGGGGCCACAACTGGAAGACCCAGGCATGTGACCCTGCCCCAGCCCCTGCCCCATCCGTCACCATAGCAGAAGTCGCAGCTGCTGGGGCACAGCCTCTTCATGAGCCTCCTGCGGGTGTCACAAAAGCCCTTCCGTGCCCAGGACGCACACACAAACAGCCGGTCCAGGCAGCCTGAGGGAAGGGCAGCCTGGTTCAGGGCCCACCTCAAGGCTGCCCACCCCTCCACACCACCTTCTCCAAGACACTCACCGTAGAGCCGGTGCAGCCCCCACAGCTCGTCCTGAGACAGTGCCTTCCAGCCACGCAGCGTGGCATTGAGATGCATGAGTGCCCGGCTGTGCTGGGAGTGCATCAGGCCCAGTGCATGGCCGATCTCGTGGGCTGCCACGTGCACCAGGTCTGTGAGCCACACACCTGCTGACCCTGTGAGTTAGCTCCCTGGAGCCCCAGCCCGGCCCTGCAGCCCTCAGGCCTGACCCCTAGGCCCAGCACATCTGCTGGAGTGTGGTGTGGAGCCACCCTTGGCCACAGCCAAGGAAAGATAAGAATGTTCTGCCTGGGCGGTGAGCTCGGTCCCCAGGAATGCAGCCCCAGCTCCCCTCCAGCAGCATGGGGGAGGCAGTCTCAGGGCTGCTGGAACCAGCAGCAGCCCCACAACCTCCCTTCCCTTGCCTGCTTAACCCCAAAGAACAGGACCCTCCACACCCCAGGAACCCCTGCTCTGCCCCCAAGCCCTCTCCACACAGCCACCCCGGTGCAGACAGTGCACCCATGGGAGGCGGGGCACCTTTCTTCCAGCTGTAGCGTGTGGGGCCCAGGACCCAGTGCTCGCTGTCGTCAAAGTGGATGCCACCGTGCGGTGGGAAGAAGGCGTGGGCCAGCTCGCCCGTGGGACCGTCAAAGCAGTGGTGCAGAGCAGAGACCAGGCAGTCCGTGTGGTTGGCTGGGTAGAAGCCTGTGGAGAGGGGAGAGCTGAGATAGAGCCCACGGGGCTGGGCAGGGGCAGGGGCACAGCGCCCACCTATCCGCAGGTCGCTGGGCTGCTCAGGGGCCACCTCACGGAAACTGAAGGGGGAAACGTCGCTCCACATCCGGAAAGCAGCAGCCAGGCCCCGGCGAGTCTCACGGGGGCTCAGCAGATTCCGAGGGAAGGAGAGGATCCTGGGGTGAGGGTCAAGGTCAGGGACAGGGGCTAGGCTGTGGCCGAGCCCCCACCCTAGGGCCAGGTCGCACCTGTAGGTGAGGTTGAAGTGGTCCCAGCGCAGCCTGGCCGGGGTCAACGTGTAGCGGCGTTTTCGGGGCACGAGCGGGGGAAATGGGCTGGGGACCTGGGCTGTAGGGACCCCTGGTGCATCCAGCGTATAGGCCTCTCTCTTCACGGGAAGAAAGTGGACATGGGGAAGTCGTAGGGACAGTCCCCACACCCCAGAGTTGGTACGGAAAAGGGACTGTGGAAAGGGGGGGTGGAAGAGCAATGGGGTGAGGGAGGGTTTGGACAGCCCCCCCCCCCCCATTTTAAGTTTTCTGCCTGAGCGAGAGAAAAAGGTTACTGAGAGCCGGTGGGAGTGGGCGGAGCCGGAGACAGATGCAGCCTCCCACCTCCGGTCACGCTCAGACCTAGGGACTCACATCCGCATCCACAGACCCCCACCCGAGGGGGCACCGCCGGGCCGCAGACCGGACCGACTCGCGCACCTGCCTGCCACCCAGCTCACCTGCGCTGCGCTCCAGGCCTGCGCCGCAGGGGCCCCCAGCCGGGCCAGCAGCAGGAGCGCGGGGAGCAGGCACAGCCCGCCCAGCACGGCCCCGAGCCGGCGGTCCTGGACGGCCCCTGACACCTTCGGGGGGACGCAGGCCCCGCGGCCCATGGCAGACTCGCTGTCGGGCTCGGGGCCGCTGGGGCAGCGCGGCGCGGGGACCTGGGCCATGGAGCCGCCGAGGAGCGGGGAGGGGAGGCGACGGCGGGCGGCTCGGGTTACAGCCCAGTGGGGGGGTGGGGGGGCGCGGCGCCCATGAGGGGAACCAGCTGGCCTGTCGGGGAGCGGCAACGGGCGCCCCCGGGGGCTTCCGGGACTCAGGACCTGTGGCCGGTGGCCGTGGCCCAGACACGGCCTGCTGGGTGGGGTCGCTTGGAGTGGGATAGGCCCCTGGGCTCGCGCTTAAAGTGGCGTCAGTCGGGGGCCCCGTGCCGGTGAGACTTCATGACGGGTTGGCTTTTCCCCCAAGTGGAGTTCCACCCCAACCCCGTGAACCCCCAGTGAGACCCGGGAGCGAAGCGCATCGTGACCCTGTAGCCGGCTCAAAAAGCGTCCCCGCGAGAGGGGAGGGGACGCAGAGCAAGGGGACGTGGCAGTGAGTATCGGGCGGCTGAAGGGGCAGGCGGCGAGGGCCCGCAGAGGGCAAGGCGTAGGGAGCTTCGAGGGTCCCGCGCAAACCCGGGAAGGGGCTGGCGGAGGGGCGGGCCTTGGGCCGGGAGGGACCCCCGAGGAGGCTGGCTGGAGGTGGGGAGGGTGCAGGGCCGGGAATCCCCCGCCAGGCCGCTGGGAGGGGGTTCCTGGAGCCAGGAAGACGGGAAGCAAGGCCAGACGCCGGGCGTGGAGGTCTGGAACGGCCCTGGCTGGGGGTGGGGAGCGGTGCTCAGCCTGGAAGGCTCGACGGGGCGGCCGAAGGCAATGCTGGCGGGAAGGCGGGATCCTGGGGGACGCCGGGGCAGCTGGGGGTAAGGGGCTGGGAGTTGGGGGTGAGGTCGAGGAGCTGTCTGCTCCGGGCCAGATATGGTCAACGTCCTGTCCCTCCCCATCCTCCATGCCGGCTTCGGGCCCAGGGTGACAGCGGCGTTCTGGCCAGCGGGGACAGCGCCAAACAGCTGGCGGGCGGCCGGGCTGAGCAGTGCGGGTGGTTCTTGGAAAGCGCTGCATGCAGGACTCCCCTCTTCGTGGCTACATATCTGCTCCAACAAACCGGCCTCCCTCGGCAGGCGCCCTGCCTCTTCCACAGGACCGTGTTCCCTTCGCCCCTGCTCAACTTCCCGAGACCATCAACGAGAGCCCGGCCCGAGACTCGGCACCCACCCAGGAGGCCCGGGACACCAAAAGCTCCTGGCGGGGGGTCGAGGTGGGCCTTGGCCTTCCAGGGGAGGAAGGGCCACCCCGTTTGGCAGAAGGACAGCGCGGGGCCTGGGTCAGTGTCGTGCCGCGCCGGTGGTGTTTCTGCCCCGGGGCAGAGTCGACCCAGGAGCAGCAGCAGGGCGGCGAGGGCCACCCCAGGCTCACCCGCCCGTGCCGCACAGGACCCCACGGCCCGCCCAGTGCCCCAGGCAGGCAGCAGGCGGCAAAGTCCGAGAATCTTTTTATAAAACACAGGGATGCGAGGCAGCTCCAGAGGGCCGCGGTTCACACGAAGATCTGGATGCGGTCGCGGATGGGCTGGCGGCAGATGGGACAGGCGCTGAGCGCGGCGCCGCAGGGTGCGCACGCGCCATGGCCACACTGGAACACAAGGCGGATGTGGCTGTCGATGCAGATCGGGCAGGTGATGCGCTCCTCCATCTGCCGGTAGCGACTCTGAAGCTCCTCCACCAGCTGCCGCGGCGGACCAGGCGCCGGGGTAGCACTTGCCACCTCGGAGCCGTCTGCGGGGGACCGGGTGGGGAGGAGTCAGCCGCAGGCGGGTAAATCCGGGTGGGTGGGCGTGCGCGCGCGCGGCAGGGCCCCACCCACCTACCTGGACGCAGCTTCTTGTTGATGACCACCTGGCACCTGATGCACTTCTTCATCCGGCGCGCGCACTCTGCAGAGAGCAGCGCGGTTGGGAGAGGCGAGGCGGGGCGGGGCGGGGCGGGGCGGCCCGAGACGCCCCGGCCCTCGGCGGCCCCGACTCACCTTCGCACACAGTGCGGTGCTGGCACGGCGAGAACAGAACTAGCAGCGCCAGCTCCGAGCACACCAGGCACTCAGCAGCCTCGGGCCCCGCAGTGGCAGCCACGTGCAGGTTCGTCACCGTGTTGGGAGTGCTGAGCACGTGCCTGGGGCCCGGGACCGCGCTCCCGCCACCGCCTGCCTGTCGCTCCCTGCAGTTGGAGGAGGGGGCTTGAAAAGGCCCCTGGCTGTGGAGGGCTCCCCCCTGGTGGTGCGGCCTACCGGAAGCGCTGGGCGCAGCCCTGCAGAGCTTTGAGCACACGGCTCTCTGTGGCCAGGTCCAGAGGGCTTCGGCCACGATGGTTGGAATAGGTCACATCAGCACCCTCCAGTGCCAGAAAGCATGCCACCGCAGCACCCACCGTCAGCTCCGAGCTGCCTGGGAGGCCTGAGGCCTGTAGCTGGGCAGCAGGACAGATGTTGTTGAGGATGGGCGCCGGCGCAGGCCTGAGGGAAGCCTCTGGGGCGCCAGGCAGCCCCAGCAGCCTGTGCAAGGGGCACCCCTATCCTCGGGGGGGAAAGCCAAGGGTACCCCCTTCCTGCATGAAGCTGTCAGCTCCAGGAACAGTGTAGAGGGCAGGCAAGAGAGGTGCCCTTGCTAGGCAACCTAAAGAATAAGTTCTAAGATGCCACCCGGGCTACCACACCATCCCCTCCCCATGATGGCCAGCAGTGCAGAATCCCCACAAGGGTTGCACAGAATGGCTTCTCTAAATCATGCCCCCACCCCAAGTTGCCCCCTTCCCCAGAGCCTGACTCCCTGGCCCGTCACCAGAGATAGAAGGTGGGCCCACCTCTCCAGCACCCACTCCTCACTTCCTCACCCTGGACAGCAGCTGCAAGGGCCCTGGGTCCCCCCCAGCCCTGTCAGCCACCAGGGGGAGCAGCTGATGGCGCTGCAGCGCCACATGCAGGGCCGTGTCCCCCTCCTCATCCTCGGTGTCAACACTGCAACCAGCATCCACCAGCAGGGGCACCAGCCCCACATGGGCCTGCTGCACGGCCAGGTGCAATGGGGACTGGAGCTTCCGGTTGCGCACGTTCACATCACAGCGGCCCTGGGGAGTGGGGGGCAAACTCAGCCCAGAGACCCCCTTGGGCCCCTGCCTTCCAGTGTGTATGTGTGTGGGGGGGGACCCTGCACGCACTTCTTGGATGAGGATCTGAGCCACCTCACGGTGGTTGTTGAGGGCAGCCAGATGCAGCGCGGTAAAGCCATCCTCCTTCTTGGCGTCCACCAATTGCCGGGCCCGTGCCAGAATCCTCCTGACGGCTCTGTGAGAGCAGGGAGATCATCCCCAGCCTTGGGCTGTTCCCGGGGTGGCCAGGTGGCAGGGCAAAGCCTGGCAGCCACTGGTGCCCACCCCACACTCACAGCGCGTGGCCCTTGAGGGACGCATGGTGCAAGAGTGTGAAGCCCTGGCTGTCAGCAGCAGCAACGTTGATGCCCGGAACCTCGGTGAGGACCTCCACGATGCCATTGGCGCCGGCCCCCGCGGAGATGGCAGAGTGCAGAGGCGTATTGGCATGGGCATCCTGCCAGTAGGGGCCAGTGGTCACTGAGAGGTGACTGTCCCTGGAGTCAAGCTGCCTCCTTAATCCAGGGTTGGTTAGGGTCAAGGGCACCTGGGGACCAACACTCACAGGAAGGTTGACATCACAGCCGCGCTCACATAGGATCCTCACCACCTCCAGGAAGCCCCTCTGCACAGCCAAGTGCAGCGCTGTGCTCCGGGCACCATTGAGGGCATCTGCCCCACACCCTGCACTCAGGAGCATCCGGGCAGCCTCAGGCTGGTTCCTGGTGGGAGAGGGAGTAGGAGGGAGCACTGTGCTGGCTGGACCCACAGGCGCGGCCCCTCTGGACCCCAGCAGCCTACCCAGCCTCACCCCAGGGCTGCATAGTGCAGTGCAGTGTGGCCCTCATCATCCAGCAGGTCCACGCCTGCCCTTGCCTGCAGCAACAGTCGCACGAGCTCCACCTGGCCCAGGTACGAAGCCACCTGCAGGGCAGTCCTGCCCTGGTTCTTGGTGTCCACCTGTCAGGAGAGCGAGCAAGTGAGTTCAGGACCTGCCACCTTCTGGTCTTCCTGCTGGCCACTGGGAGGAGGTCAGGGAAGGGGCCTGCCTGTTCTGGGTGCCTCCGAAGCAGGTCAAGAGCCCGGGCCACATTGCCCAGCGCTGCCTCTACCACCAGCCTCCCTGGGTGCTCTGGATCACTCTTCTGAGCCCGCAGCTTGTCCAGGGCCACACTCAGTGAACCTGGGGGCAAAACTGGGTAAGTGATGGCCAAGGGCCACCCTGCCTCCCCCAGGCTGCCAGGGCTGGTGCACACTTTTGTTCTCCCGGGCACGCTCAGCCACGTCCAGATTGGTGTCCTCCTCTGGTCGGTAAGCCACCAGGCAGGAAGGACTGAAGGTCCACCGCTGCCCACCGACTGCCACACGCAGGTTCCCATCTCCAAATACCTTTACCACTTTCCCAATGCGGCCCAGGGCCTGAGGGAGAAATGTAGGGTCACAGGAAGTCTTGGCAGGGGAGGTCACAACACGGGCAAGGGGACTCACAGGGGCCATGTCATCTGTCCACTCGCCATGCCCAGCCTGCAGTTGCTTCACAGTGTCCAGGTCATCGATGACGCGAACCACATCGCCCACCCAGAAGGAGTTGTGCTGGGTGACAGAGAAGCAGGTAAGGGACTCCCCCCGGCCACATGTGGCCGCCCATGGTCGGGGAGGGTACCCCCAACAAGCTCCACAGGTCAGGCAGGTATGAACCTGACCCCAGTTCCTGCGCCAAGCACAACCTAAGGGTCTGGTTGGACAAGGACCATAGGTGACCAAAGCAGCCCCAGAGGATCGGGGGCGACAGCTGGGGAAGCAGCTGGGCAGCGGCATCCCGATCAGACAAAAGCCGGCTCTGGGGAGGTGTGAAGCCCCACGCGGCCTGTACATCGACCCGACTGCCGGCAGCTTGGCAGCGGCGTGGGGCGGGGCCCCGGACGTAGGGGCGGAGCCAAGGGTGGCGCCCCTCCCCCTCCCCTGCGAGGAGCACAGGGGCTTGCGCTGCTCTGCAGTGCCCCCTCAAAGCTCTCCAGGTTCAGAGCTGAATGCTCTGAATGCCCGCCCCAACACCTGCTCCCTCTGTCCTCCATCCCCCAAGTCCTGCTTTCCAGGCAGCTCACTGTGTCCACCTTGTCCACGCTGCTAGTGCCCACCAACCTGGGCCCAGCATCCACCTCCCACTCACAGGTAGCATCTTAGAAACCAAGCCCAGTACCCCACTTCCAGCCTACTGTGGTGTCCACCTTTCTTCCATCCTCAGGACAGACAGACCCTGGCCTGCCTGCTGCAGCCTCAGGGTGCCTGGCCCTCCTCTGGGTCTCTTCATGCCTGGATCCCCTTTTCCTCGGCCCCACCTTCACCCACCAGGCTGCCCCTTCTTTCAGATCTGGGGACTCATGGGGGCACCAGGGCCATAATCCTGCCTGCCCACTCCCAGGGCTGCCTAAGTACATGGAAGGGTTACAGAAGTGAATGGATGAGGCTCAGCCTAGCCCCTAGGCACCTTGGTGAGAGCCCCGGGGTGGAACGTCCAGCGGGTCTCGTGGTTGAACTGCACACGCACGTCCCCACGGTCGGTGATGCGGTGCACGGTGCCCGTCTGTCCGATAAACTGTGGCAGGTCGCAGAGACTATGGCTGGGGGTCCAGAGGGCTTGGGAGGGGAGGGCACACAGGGCTCAGTGGGGAGGCAGCTCACCTCTGCCATCCTGGGGTTCCAGCCGCCATGGCCTTCCTCCATGTCCCTCAGGACGTCTATGTCCAACAGACACTTGACCTTGTCCCCACGCTGGAAGGGCTGGCCGTCGGCACTCACCCTGCGTTGCAGCTCTGCTGGCTTGCCTGGGGGGGGGTGGCAGGCCAGGCCTCAGGCAGCACCCCCACCCAGGACATCACAGGCTAGCCCCTGCCCAACCAGGGCAGGAGGGCAGCCAGTGTTGGTGGGGCCAGTCCCATACCCAGCCTGGGGAGGTGCTCCTTGTAGTAGAAGCCGCCAGCTGCCTCGCCTATACACTTGAGGTCCACCTTGCCCTTGTGGCCCACGCGGTACACATTGGTCGTTCCATCTGCCCATGTCACACTGGCCACACTCCGGCCTGTCTCCACATCCCAGCCACGGATGTCCACCACACGACCTGGCTTGCCTTCCCCTCCTGGGGAGACAGTGTCCCCACCCAAAAGCTGAGCCTCAAGGCTGAGCCATAGCCAACTGCCTCACCTCCCATCTCTCCCTCCGGCCACCACTCACCATCCTGTGAGCCCCACTCCCAGTCGGGGCCTCGCACCACCTTTGCACCCTGGAAGATGCCCCTTAGTGGGATCCTAAGGAGACCCTGGCGGGGACTCAGGGTAACACTGCAAGAGAGTGAGTCCTGAGCCATGCAGGAGAGAGGTATTACGGTCAGGCCCCTGCCCTGCCCTGCCCAGACTAGCTCCTCCACCCCCAGGCTCCTTCTCACACCAGGTGGGATCTACCAGATGGGTGTCCTGGCACCCAGTTCCTGCCCATGAATGCCCTTCCCAGAAGGGCAGTGCCTTCCACACTCAGGGGGAAGGCTCTGTGGGAGCTATCAGATGCCCTTGGCTGGGAGGGGACTCAGGCTCCTGTGTAGTCTGGATAAGCCTGCCCTCCCAGTGGGTGGGGCCTGGCCTGGCCAGCAGCACACAGCCACTGGGCCCTGGAACACACAGGGGGAGGCTCCAGGAGACAGCTGGCATCAGGGAACAGGGGTGGTGCCTCTGGGTGCCTGGTCCAGCACAGCAGAGCGCCCTCCTCAGCACAGACCCTCTGACTACAGCACAGCACTCTGGACAGCCAGCACCCATGCTGGGCCACAGGGCTGGGTCCAGAGTGGGCTGCCCTGCCAGAGGCCACGATGCCAGGCCTGGCACCTCCACGGGAATGCTCGCTGCTCCAATGCCACTGCTGCTGGCATGGCCACACACAGGCCGCACTCAGTGACGCAGACTGCAGCTGCACCAAGGGGTGCCAGCACAGAGAAGCCATCCACACACCTCCAAGTGGCTGAGGAGGGCCTGTGCTTCCCTGAGGCTGGCGGGGGGGACTCACGGGCGTGAGTGGGCTGTCTCGTAGCGCTCAAAGGCGTGGGTGAGGTCGTGCTTGTTGTGCATGTAGCACTGGGTGCAGAGGTCGTAGTCGAAGCAAATGCGGCACTTCCAGCGCATGCCCCGCAGCCCATGCTTCTTACAGCAGTCGCAGATGATGTTGGGGTGGCGGACGCCTGGGGGCAGGGTAGGGTCAGCGGCAGTGACTCACCAGGGCACACGGGCCCTCCCACCACCCGTGCTGCCACGCACCAATCTGCGCATTGTCATAGAGCAGCAGGTCGTGGGCACCCTGGTAGCCGGCGCGGTAGTTGGTGCGAGTGCCCTGGTCCCACTGCACGACAACTGTGCGGTCTGGGGTGGAGGGGCTGCCATGGCGCCCGAGCTCCACCACGGTGCCCACGCCGCCCTCGCCGCCATCCTGCTGGCCCCACTTCCAGTCCACGCCACGCACCACTCGCATGCCCACCTGCACACCTGCCTGGGGGTCAGGGTCCATGGTGCAAGGGGCTGCTCGGGACCTGTAAGCAGAGAGCACCCTCAGGCCATGTCAGGAGGCCAGGCCCAGCCTACCCACAGACACCTGTCTAAAGGGCCACCTGGGAGAGAGGGCAGGCCAGGAGCAGAAAGCACCAACACAAAAGGGGGAGGCAGAGGGGCAGGAAGTAGGAACAAATGGCCTGGGTCCAGGGGAGGTGGGAGCACAGGTACACAGGTCAGCACAGGGGAGGCCAGGAGACAAGGTAGACGGGGAACCTGGCCTGGAAGAGGGACAGCAATCAGACTGAGCAGGGTGCGGCACATGCTAGTAACCTGGTTTCAGTCGGTTGGTTTATTTAGGATTTTGGCTGGTTGCTGGTGGTTCCTAGGTGCTGGGGATGGAACCCAGGGCCTCGCTCATGCTAGGCCGGCTTCTGCCTGAGCCACACCCCAGCTAGTTGATTGATAAGGTAAAACAACTCAGCCTTTGGGAGAAAACAGACTATTTCTTTGTGTAGCCTAGTTAGACAGGTACTGAGTGGAGGGCTGCTGTTCAACAGGACCCCATCTGGCAATTGCACAGGCAGCAGGGCCCGAGGTGAGCTGCGCAGAGCACGGCCCCCATGACTTGCATCCAGAACAGGGAAAGAACCCCCACAGCCCCACGAGAAAGTCAGACAAGCAGCAAGTTGGGCAGGACGCAGGCTCACCAGACACCAGCCCACACAGCACCACCAGGACGTTCACAGGAAGGGCACAGCCCTTGGCCCCCGCAAGTCGGGGACAGCACAGTGAGGGCACATGGCCCTATTAGGACCTACTCTGGAGAAGTCTGGCCTGGTCTAAGGTGGCACACTTACAGAAGCACCTGCCGGGGTCCTTCAGGGAGTACTGGGACCTACAGCGAGGTTTTAGTCCCCAAGGGAGCACGAACCCACCTCACCATGAATGATAGCAATGCAAAGTTCACAAACAGCTTGGAGGACAAGAGCCTAGTGTGAGAGAGGCCATTACAGGCACTACACGTATAGCAAGTTTGCAAAAGCAACAAGCCAAGTCACAGCCTTAGGAAGCCAACCACGAGGCTGGTCCCAGGCGTTCCTTCAGACCTACGGCCTGAGAATTCTGTATTGAGCTAATCTTGAAGGAAGTCTTGTTAATACAAATGCAGCTAAAAGACAGGACGTGAAGGGGGTGGGGGGGACAGGGACACAGGGACCACGAAGGAGTCACATGTACTCTCTCATTTAAGTGTCCGGCCCATGGCTTGCGAAGGAGCTCCCCCCAGAGTAGGGGACAGCACTCCTGCTCAGCTTCCAACCGAGGCTGGGGGTTGCCCTGGCTGGCTGGTGCAGCTGAAGCTGGAGGGGATGCTGTCGATCAGCCAATGTCCCCCCAGCTCCAGATGGGGCCTCAGGGCCTTGCCCAGCCACAGAACAGAGGCAGCCTAGGCCCGAGAGTGACAAGGGGAGAGATGAACACATCACCCTCCAACTGGGCCCTGCTTCAGGTCCCTGTTCCTGCCCCAGCCTGACACTCAGTCTGCTGGGCCAGCCAGTCCTGGAAACACTCTGCCTCCTGGGAAGCCACAGGTGGGCACAGGAGGCCCCCACTGCAGCTCTGCCTGCAGCCAGAGGCAGAGGCGGGAAGCCCGCAGCCCATCCCAGCACCAGTCCAAAGCTTGTGTCCAGCTCTTGGTCTGTACCTGCTTCAGATCCTCAGGGACGTGAATCATCTGGTCAACTCAGCATTGGGCAGTTCTCCCTGCTGCCCATCACCCAGGACCACCAGGGCTGGCATAGAAACAGGAGGATTAAAGCTCACTCTCTCCTGAACCAGGGCCAACTAGGAGCCGTCCTGAGAGCACCGCACTGGTCTGGGACCTCCCCTCTCTGGGATCTTGGGACCCTGCCAAGGTGTGGCACTGAGGCCCAAAGCCAGAAGGCACTGCACCAGTGGTTCTAGTGATGCCTCAGGCCCAGACAGCCCCAGGCTCTTGGGCACCTGCGAGTCCAGGAGGGGGGTGGTGTCTGGTGGGCAGCCAACAGGCTAGTCAGGTGTGGCAATCAGCTCTGCCTTTCTAGCCACCTCTGCAGCCTGTACAGCAGTGCCACCCACATCTCTGCTACCACGAGTACAGCCAGAGCAGCTCCTCACTGCCCTGAGGGCCACCAGGATGCCCCACACAATGCCATTCAACTCCCTTGCCCAGGCAGCAAGCCCACAAAGGCAGGGCCTCCAAGGGCTGCCCCCATGCCCACTCATGGCCATATCCCTGGCTGGCTAGCCCCTGCTGGCCTCCACAATCACTGACTGCATGACAGCGAGTAAAACTCCGGCACCCAGGAAGCTTGTGCTCCTGGGACAACTAGCAGACCCAATGTCCCAGGGGCCCAGCCAGCTAGGCCACTCTTGCCTCACCCACACACTGTGTGCTCACCACATCCTAGCACTGGAAGTCATCAGGCAGCACAGCTACACCTGGCCCTGGGGCCCAGTTCCACTAGCTGGCCCAGCTCCCTGACCTTTTGCTGGAAACACTCCAGTCCCCATGAAAGCTATCTGGGAGGGACGTCACACCTTTCTCCAGCAGGACCAAGTGGCTCCCCACTGCCTGATCTGCAGAGTCACCAGCTAGGGGCAATCTGTGCTGGGCTTCTGCTCCCTGGGCCCTGGCAATGAGTTCAGCTTCTGTCCACGGAGATCCTGGGAAAGCACAGGCTCAGCCAGGGCAGGCATCCCCACCCTTCCCCAGTCTCCTCTGCACAGGGCCCTCCTTGCAGGCATGGCAGAGGCAGGGGAAGTAGAGACTGTGACCCCCCACCAGCCCACTGACCTCCATGATATACACACACACCCTCCCTCCTGCCAGGAACCCGTCACCCTAATCACAGCTGGGAGGCAAACTGAGGAGACAGTCCACACCCCATACCCCTGTTACAGGCAACCACAGGCCCAGCAGGAGGCTATACCAGCAGGGGGCCTGTGACAGAGAACCTGGCCCAGCACAGAGAAGACTTGGAGCAGGAAAAGACCCAAGTACTGGGAGTTGATGTTGTGGTCATTCTGCAGCCAAGCAGCTTGCTGGCCTCTGTGAACCCAGCTTCCCAGCCTGAGCCTGCCTGCCCAGGCCAGCTGCCATGTCTGCCTGCCAGCTATCGCCCCACTGGCCACTTGTCGCTGGGCCTTTTACAAGACATAGGGGGGGTGCCCCAAGCATGAATGCAAACAAGGCCTGTGCCCAACCTCTCCCTCAGGAGAATGGACAGAGGCAGGGAGATCAAAGTGGAGGGTGTCTGGCAATGTCTGGAGAAACTTGGGACCACACCTCAGCTGACAACTGCCTAGCAGGAAGGCCACCAGGTAGTTGAGCCTGTGACAGCATCTGCCTGCCACCACACCTGGTAGTTTTAGAACAGCCAAACAACTCCCCTCATCCCTAGCCCGCAAACCGCCACATTCTGGAAGACTATCACTCAGATGAGCCCACCAGAGACGGACCGCAGCCGGGCAGGACGTGGGACGGACTTAGTTAAATAACCAGCACCCACTGACACCCAGGACTGCCTGGACAAGAAGGGAGGACCTGGAGGAGCGCACACAGGGCTTGGTACGCTTGCTTGCCCCCTGGGTGCCAAGGGGTGAGAACAGAGAAGCACCAGTCATGGTGGCCCCCAGGGCTCCTTCCCTGAAGCAGCCCATGCCAGAGGTCTTCAGAGGCAGCACCCTCCGTGCTACATGGCATCACAGCCCTGGTTAGGGCCCCTGCCTGAGCTGGTCTTCTGATAAAGCCCCCTTGCCACCCTCTCATAGTTACCACAGGGACAGACAAGGGACAGGGCTTCTGGGACTCAGAAACACAGGGATTTGGCACCCTAGGACCCTCTCAGGGAGACCTGACAACTTTCCGTCACCCCTGCCTGGCCTCTGTCACTTTTGTTCCTGGGCCCAGCATGTCATTGCTGGTCATGTCCCCCTGCCTTTGAGCTCCTGTGCCTTGTCTCAGGGCTCACTACTTATTATGGTTTTGATATAAAGTGTCCCCCCAAAACTCCTGTTAATGTGGAACCACAGTGGTGCCTCTTCCTCCCTGTCACCCGGGCCTGTCCCCATGATGTGCTCTCACCTCAAGCCCAGAGCAATGGAGTGGGCCATCTACAGACAGAACCTCTGAAACCATGAGCCCCAAATAAACTTTTCCTCCTCTAACTTGTTCTTGTCAGGAATTTTGGTTACAGTGACCCAAAAGGTAAACACTACTTCATCTCAAAAGGTCCCACCAGGTACACGGGGCAGTGAGTGGGGAAGAGACAGGTCAAGAATGGGGAAGCAGTAATAACCCTGAAGGAAGGGAACCCCAGGGGTTCTTGGTTTTCCCTCCCCTCTATGTGGGAAGTCCCTACTCTTAGGGCAGCATGGGGATCCTGACCACCAGTGAGGAGCCTGCCCATCTCCACTGTTCACAGAGAGCTAGGGGACATGAGGCCTCGCAGGTGGCCTGTCTACCTCAGAATGGAGCTTGTTGACAGAGGATTCATCCCTGGGCTTCCCTGCTATCACCGTCCTCCCTGGGCCATGAACAAGCTACCACTCAGGGCTGGGTTGGGGAGAACCTGGCCCCCAGTGGCACTGGGCACAGCCTAAGAACAGCAGAGAGTGGATCTGCTGTCTAACTCAGCAAGTCTGGGAAGGGGCCTAGACGTCTGGGCAGCACCATGCACCCAGGCAGACCACACTGCAGGCCTCAAGTGAGTCCCTTCCCAGGGCACCTGCAAGACAGGAATTCCTGATGTAGGGCAGGAATGAGGGCCCTGTCCTGGTGACAGACAATCTTGGACAGGGATGCCCAGAGGGCACTTCATCACTCTGCAGCCTCCAGGAAATACCCTGCCACAGCCCGCTGACTGCAGCACATCAGCCCTTCCTGGAGAGCAGGGATCCTCTGAGCACTTCTCCCACCTTCCTGGAAGTACCTGGGAGCCCTGAGCACATAAGCTAGATTCCCACTGCCACCCTCCGCTGGCTCTCTCTGGGCCCAGGCTTCCACAGAGATGAAAGATACCCTACACAGACCTGCCAGAGTGTCCCAGAAACAGCCCACAGCCCTGCACAAGCCTCGACCCAGTGCCTGTGGAGGGGCACCAGGGAGCACCACCCTGACAGCAGGGTCCAAGAACTGCAGCCATCACAGCCTTGGTGTACGGGGGCCTTAGTGTCGACCCACAGAAACAGCTGCCAACCATTCCTGCTTGTGAACACAAAGCCAGTACTCATGCTGCAGGGTGCTAGACGCTGCGATGGGCAGTGCATGCAGCCATTTCAGTGGGAAAAGTGCCCACAGAGTTGTCAACTTCTTCCCTTTGCCAGCAACCCTAGGTTTTGCCATCCATCCGGACCGAGAGTCATACTCTGGCTGACTCCCAACACCCGGAAGGCTGTGCTTCAGCTGTCCACCATGGGGCAGAGAAGGCAGCCTCAACTGGCAATTGTGCTTCAACAAAATCAGAACTCACCTCACAGCACACAGCAGCCTTGAGTCAGCATCCCAAGCACTTAGTTGCCACTTCCTGGGTCACAAATGTGCTCAGCCACCAAGATTTCCTGTGGGAAACTAGCAGCCATTGCTGACACAGAACACAGCAAACCAAGCAGCAGGCAGCCAGCCAGTCTTACACACTCAGCATGTGGGCCTCAGGGCTGCTGCTCACCATCAGAGCTCCTTTCTACAAGCAACGGCTGTCCCTTACAGGACAAAAGTACTGGGACAACTCAGGAGGATGCTGTCCACTGTCTGTGAGTATTTTATTGGAGAGTTGTATACAGCCATAGATATTAAGTCATGTGTAGTAAAGATGCAGGGTCCTTTATTCAGGAGAACATTACATGAAACTGAGAACATTCAGGACACGAGGCTGCCCTCCTACTGCCCCCTCCCTTTAACCCTGCTTGCCTCTAACACTACTCAACTGTGTGGCACAATTGCTGGCAAACACTGGTACGTCACAGGCTCCTGGGTGCCAGCGGAGTCCAGCCCCTAGGAAATGGGGTGAAGCCCTGGGACAGAGGCAAGGAGACCTGACCCAGCATACACCAAGGCACCTGCTGGGCTGGGTGCCATGGAGCACACCTGCAATCCCAGCAGCTCAGGAGACTGAGGTAGGAAGATGACAAGTTGGAGGCCAGCCTCAGGAACTTAGTGAAACCCTGTCTCAAAATAAAAAAAAATAAAAGGGCTGGGAATGTGATTCAGTGATTAAGTGCCCTTGGGTTCAATCCCCAGTACCATTAAAAAAATAAATAAATAAATAGACCTTCTGGGGGAAAAGACATACAGTGTGGCATGTCACCACTACTACTCTTGGTGACCTCGATGGAGACCCTCAGGCATACTGCAGCCTGAGAGGTCATCCCACTGACTTGCAGGCTGACCTTGGCAGGAGAGTGACCGATACTTGTTGCATGTGGAGCAACAGGTCAGAGTGGAATGGGGAGCCAGGAACCTTCCCAGAAGGGCCAGGGCCCCTGCACTTGGGCTGGTCTGTCCTTAAGTCTGCTGGCCCCATCAGGAGCCCACCTGGTACTTCTGCTTTTCTCCATCAGTTCTGAACCCAGAGGAAAAGCAAAATGATTTCTCCCTCACCCACACACAAGCACACTCAAGACACAGACACAGCCCCTCTGACAGGACATCAGGCCTCATTTAGGGCAAAGGCACCGAACCCCAACTATCAGGCCACAGCCAGTGAAGAGCTCACCTGTCTGGCCGCCCACTGTCCCCCGCCGCCCGCCTTGAGACTCGGGCTGTAACCCTGATGCCTGGAGACCTGGGACTGGCCTCTGCCGTGCTGAGCTCCAGCGCCAGCACCAAACGATCCAACCCTGCGGCCAGACGAGCCGAGACATGCAGTTACTGCCTGCCAGCCGGCCGCGGACCCGGTGCTGCCGCCCACCCGCCCACCCGGAAGGGTCACTGGGGACCGGCGGCCGGGACCCGCTGCGGCAGCCGGGCGTCCAGGGGCGTCCAGAGCCTGCGGACGTTGGCGCCCCGCGCTGCGTGCCGGCCCAGACTGCGGACGCGCACTCGCACGAGCAGCCGCCCTGGGGTAGGGACGCGAGGCCCGCCGCCCACGCTGTCCACACCGGCCGGGCCACCCGCCCGGCCACCGGGCCCGCTCCCTGACACCATCCCGGCTCCGTGAGGCCGCCCGGGCACCCGCCCCGGGCCCCCACTTGCCCGGAGTTTCCGCGCGCCCGCTCGGCCCCAGGGAGCGGGGCAGCGGCGAGGCTGACGGCCAGTGTTGGCCGGCTGTCCCAGCGCGCGCGGCGGCGCCCGCCCCTCGGCTGCTGCGCAGCGCCGGGCCAGGCCGCCCCGCTGCCTCGCAGCCCACCGGCCGCGACCCCGGTTCGGGTCCCGGGCAGCCGCAAGGCCCGCCGGGAGCTGTAGTTCGCGGCGCCCGGCCAGGGGGCGGGGCGGGCGGCTCCCAGGAGGCCCCACGCGTGACGCACGCGGCGCCCGGCCAGGGGGCGGGGCGGGCGGCTCCCAGGAGGCCCCGCGCGTGGCGGAGCGACGCCCCTCCACGGGGCGGGGCGGGCGGCTCCCAAGAAGCTCCGCGCTCGACGCACGCGGCGTAAGGCCCGCGGGGCGGGGCGGGCGGCTCCCCAAAAGCCCCGCGCGTGACGCTGCGGGCGTAGGCCGGGCGGCGGGCGGGCTTCTCTCTGACGCCGCAGCGGCCGGCGTTCACTGGGAGACCCTGAGGAGAACTGGAAAGCTGCACTCAGGAGCAGCCGGGCACGTTCCTGGGAGAGGACGGGAGCGGGGTAGCGGCTCTGCGCCCGCTGGCGCCATCCCCGGAGACCACCCGGTGGCCACCCCTGCAGCCGCACCACACCTCCACCGGCGCCGAGCAGGTGGCTCAGGCCCGGGGGCATGTTCCGTTGCCTCTTGAGCCGGACTGCCAGGGATGCCCCAGGGGCCTCTTTTTCGGGGGGCACCAGGGATTGAACTCGGGGGCACCGACCACTGAGCCCCGTTTTGTATTTATTTAGAGACAGCGCCTCTCTGGGCTGCTTAGCACCTCGCTTTCGCTGAGGCTGCTTTTGAACTCGCGATCCTCCTGCCTCGGCCTCACGTGCTGCTGGGATTACTGGCGGGCACCGCCTGGCCCGGCCCAAAAGGCCTCTTCACCAACGCTCCGAGTTAATGCGCGGTTCGGTTCGTTTTGTGGCGGACTGGGTTTGGTGCCGCAGTCTGGCTGGGCACAAAATCACGAGCCACCACACACCTTGTAGATTCAAACAGCAGCTCTTTATTCTCTAACTGGCACTGGCACTTTTCACACGTTCTGGGCCCAAATCACGTTCTGGATCCCAAATACTCTCAATCCCGTGAGAACTCCACGGGAACTCAAGGAGCGGGGGCGCCTGAGGCAGCAGGATACACCCTATTCCCAGCAGGGTACACCTTAAACCTGGAACCGCCCTAAACCCGGATCCTGCAAGGTCACCTTACATGCAATGTCACTGCAAATGACCTGGGTCATGCCATGCGTCATTCTTACTTAGCAATGGCCCTCAGCAGCTTGGGACTTGGGCACACTGCACAGGCCCCTGACCCAGTAGGAAACCCCTGTTTGTTTACTGCTAATCTGATTTTTATTTATTTTTTTTTAACTTTTTTTTTAGAAGTAGTTGGACACAAGACCTTTATTTTATTTATTTATTTATTTCTATGTGGTGCTGAGGATTGAACCCAGGGCTTCGCCTGTGCTAGACGACACTGAGCCACAATCCGACCCTTTACTGGTAATTTTAGACGGACCTGAGGACTTCCCTTGAGATCAGTGAGCTCGGCCCCACCTCAAATGTTCATGTTGCCTCCCTAATTGTCCCTTATCGTTTCAGGATCACTGCGCCCCTGCTGTTGCTGCTTGCTGCCATTGCATGAAGCCACGGCTTGTGCCTCCCATCCTGCACAGTCTTCGGTTTTCCTCTTGAGTTAGCCTAGTATTTTCGTATACAGCTTTTTACTAACGCTTGGTAGTGTTTTTTTTTTTTCAAGGCTCCAACATGCCACGTCTTGTCTGTAACCTTTTCCAAGGACTCAGGCTCATCAGTTGTGTTTGATCTGGAGACCCCGCAGAGCCTGGTGCCCCTTGTTCCGACCTAGGCTGTCTGCCCTCCTGCCTGCTGCAAGGCTGTGGGCAGGAGCT